TTGCTTAATGAGAATGTTTCTTAGAGCTATTTTATATTTAAATATTTTAATTTAAAAATACACTCTATGTTAAAAATTTTTTACAAAGGCAACATTAATTAAATGAAACAAGGTTATATCATTGATAATTTAAAAACATTTCTAAATTTTCTTTGCAGAGGTTTAAAAATGAAGTAGCTATAAATGTAAAATAGTTCTGAAGTTATGTTAAATATCTGAAAATGAATTTCTATATTAATTTGTGCAAATTTGTATTTTCCCATAATTTGGAATGAAAGTATTTGATATTCAATATTCGTAATAAAATTTATGTACCCTATTTGTCATTGTGCGAATTCTTATCAAAATCATATTTATCTATGGTATAATATAAAGTTAATAAAAGTTCTTTAGACAAATCACAGTTTCTGTCCTTGGTAACTGCAGTGTGTGTGTGTGTGTGTGTGTGTGTGTGTGTGTGTGCTTATTGTTAGGTTAAATAATTTTAAACTGAAATTAGAATGTAGAGGTTCAAACCTGATTAAGAGTTAGCTTAAAAGGTACATTTTAAGTATTTCAGGTAGATAAAAGAGTAGTGTTGTTACTCTCATGAGTTTTATTAACATCTGCCCAGATAGCTGAACAACTGTTTCAAATAATTAAAATAATTTAAATATGGATTTTTTTATGACAGTCATTACATAGGCTCGAAGGTAAATTTATCAGAGCCAAAGGAAAAAAATTACTCAAAAGAAGAGAAATGTTAAAAAAGAATAAAAATGTAGAAAACTCAAAGAGAAAGTTATTTTACCCCCAACAGCACTGATTGGTTGTATCGTATTTTTCTCCTGTCACTGATGTAACATGTGCAAGATGGTGCAAAATGTAATTATAATGTTTACATGTAATAGTCTTCCACTTAATTTTGTTTAACAGAGAAATGATATTATAGAAGTATTCATTACAAAGGGATAGAAAGAATAAAAATTATTAACAAGACTGGGAGAAACCCCCTTACTCTTATCAGTTAAACCAGGCTTTGCAGAAATCATAGTCACTGGCAGAAAGAGGAGGTTAAAAGAGCTTTAATAACGTAGGGGGTCTGCAGGATGTGAGCTCATAATCATACAATTAGGATCCATGCTGAGTTGTATGTGATTCAGTTGTACTGAAAACTGGCTCATATGCCATCATAAATGAATATTCAAATATTTGTAAGAAAGCAGTGTCCCTATACTCATGAACATGTAGTTAAAAATTAGTGTACCATTTATTCAAGCACAACTTTCAACACTGCATCTAACATGCCAACAATTGTAAGATACATCACAATTTCAGAGATGTTACTGAAAAAGCGGATGTGTCAGAATAAATGAAATATGAATGTGTATAATCAGCTACCCCCTGCAAATTTTCCATAGAGGAATTATAAAAGAGAAGGGAAATGATCTGAAAACTAATTCTGTATTTCTTTGAAAGATGATATATTTCAATTTGCATTGCATGAAATTGAGTTATTAAGGTCAGTATATATTGGTAAGGACAGTCATAAATTAAATGTTTAGAGCAAATAAAACAGAATACATTATGCACATGCTTGAACTCCCAAGTAGTTATATTTCTCTTGAAACTTTTATTAAAGTATATAGGTCTCAAATCCTTTAAAACCGAATCTCTAACAGTTATGAAAACTTAAAATGCTTAATTTTCAATGGATCTGTCTTTGTTCAGGTACATAGATTCCAATGAGTTTTAAAATTATTAAGAGGTGTTTGGAAATAAACATTATTTCATTACATTTGGTTATTTTTCATAATTGGGCTTGTTGATTTTGAGGGCAATCCCTTAAAAAACTGAGTGGGGGGAAAAATAGGAGTAAGGAAAGGAAGTAAAAGGCACTGAATCTAATTTGCTATATCAGGTACCCGGAATAAATAATTCTATAGAGAAACATTTCCATAGTTCCTCATAAAAATATATCAATGTCTCACGGAAGCCATAAGAATATCTTCAATGGAGATTAGGAAATATTAATAAATATTTGGAATTTATTCTTTTTTTAATTTAAGTTCTTTATTGTTTAATGTATTACATTGGGATTTATTCTTTAGTGAAGGATTACGTCTAATGCGGTAATTTTAATAATGATTTAAAAAAAATTTGCCTGAAGACAAAAAATCCATTTTGTTTATTTTAATTTTTAAAATCTTTATTAACTAAAACTGCTTTGAACATTTAGGACATAATCAGATTTTTAGTGAATTTCTGAGTCTTGCAGAGAATATGTATGATTTCATATATGTTAAGAAATTTTGAAAAAGATATCAAATGCTTAAAAACCCACGTACACTGCAGTGTGAAGATGTCCCCAGAGAAATCAAATGCATACAGTTATGTTGTAGTGTTATGTCTGGCACATTGCTAAGTCATTACATGGCACATATAATTTAAATGTAAGTCGTTTAGGGTACAGAAATGTCGTACCAAAAGTGTTCAAGTTCCTCACTTTGTTAATCATTAAAAATGTCATTACTTGTGTATGATATCAGTGAATCTTAAAAGGCTCCTGTGGTCATAATGAAAATAGGCTCTATATACAAATATTACTTAATCTAAGAATACCCTGTTTTCCCTTACCTTTTAATTCTAATTAGTCAAATATTAATTCTCTTCTCACAAACCATTATACATGAACATACCAATTATTCAAGTAAAATAAAGTTCTATAACCTTTAAGAATTAGATCATTAAGTGGGAAAAAAGAAAGAAAGCACATAACAGTCATCATCTAGCTTTGAACAGCGTATCAGGAAGTTTGTCTCTCCCTATGATAACAGCTTCAGTTTGTTATAAATTAGTGCATACTAGTGAGAGTGTAAAAATATAAACTCTGGACTTTCAGGATTTCACTTTATTTTGCTCTTTTGGATAATTATTCCACATGAAAATTAGTTTATGAACATCGTAATGTTCATTTTTAAATTGTCAGCATTTTAATAAATGGAATTTTTCCACTTTTTCCTTTTGAGACTGTCAGGTATCAATTTATTTTCCTTTAAAAAAAGGACGCTACATGTGACAAACTGCAAAATGTGATTTTTACATTATCCTTGGTGGTCAAGGGTATCTTAAATAAGTAAGTCACAGTACTGAATTATGTCAGTGTCTCCAATCTCTCATTTGGGGAAGGAAATACAGTTCAACTTTGAGTCATAGTTGTTTGGCTATAGGGACTGCTAATGGAGTTGCCCTATTTGTTGGCTCCAGAGCAACTTATGCATTAAAATGCACTTTTGGGTAGAATGTGGTGTACAGACTTTAGTCTTCATTGAAATGCAAATATCTAGCACTTTGATTAACTCAAGTGCCGAAAGACAGTAAATCTGGGATGTTAATTATAAAAAGACATTTTTGTCATAGGCAAAGCTCTGACTACTGGATGTCTTGCCAATTAAATGAGAATAAATCTGTAGGGCTGTGGTAATTGTGAAGAAGTTTCCATTCTTCTGTATCAATCTCGGGGTGAGCACTGCACAGTTCTAGGGGGTGCTGTTCACAAAGGCTAAGGCATAAATGGATTTCACACCTGTACTTAACTCTTAGAAGTTGATTAGCAGGAAATATTGGAACTAGTCATGGGCAATTCAGTCTGAATGACTCTTTCTGCTTTGCTTTGCAATTTTCTCATGCTCATATACTTAAGACTTCAGTAAATCACATTTAAAAACACTTGCCAATTGGATATTTTAAAGACTCAAGAGGTAGCATGATAATTGTGCAATGAACACTAGCCTGGCAATAAGATAGAAATTGTCTTCAAATGCTGCCACTTACTCACTGGGATGGTTTTTGAGACATCACTTAAACTTGATTCCTAACTAACTAAAATGATGAATTAGCTTATTTCTTAGATATTTTTTATCTTCCTCCAATTGCATACTTTTAGAATTCTAATCAGTGGGGATGAGGTGATACTATATTATATAGTCTAATATAACCTTTAATTTAAAAAAATGCTAATATCTACTTAGAGTAAATATCTGAGAAATCTCAGTCAAAAGTCTGGAACTTTGCTTGAGGCAGAGTTTCTAAATATCTTCTGAATTTTAACCCAATGATTAGATAAATGAAATGGTGAAATAGTTCGTCCAGTTAACCAGGTAAGAAGATATCAGACTCCACATCTTCAAACAACGAAGCTGTTCAAATTTTGTTGTTACTTTACAGTGTCCCTTATTAAACATTCAGCTTTTTAAACCAGTATTCTAATAAAGTGACATTGTATTATTAAGTTTTATGGCAGTAGTAACTTAGCACTTATTTAATCCAGTCATCTGTGATATATATAAACTTATCCTGTACGAAAGAAAACCAAACCATAAAGTCAAAGAGGAGAGAATGTTGGAATTAGTATCCATCTTGTAAAGAGAAGAAAACAAACACATACATAAAACTACAGTTTCAAAAGCAATAACCCCCAAGATTAATGTTTTATCTGTTCACCTCCTAAGTGAAACACTAAGTTACTCATCTAGTTATTCTTGTAGATTCACTGCCAAATGTTGAAGTGTTTGGCAACATTAGAATAAATGCCTGATTATTGTTTTTCATTTGCATGTTCCATGCAGGGATTACTGTGCTCTTGCAGTGACACAATGCCAAAACTATCTCAAAAGCATTGCTTCTCCCTGGGAAGCTTAGGAATGGCCAGGTACCTGTAAAGTGTAATCAGTGCTCTTCAGATGATCTACATTCTACGCTGATCTAAATAAGTTATATATTACAGTAAAGTGCTACAATGACACTAGTCTCAAACAGTAGTAAGACACATTTTTTTCTCTGAAAAAGTCAGCAGCAATGTGAGTCACATGATGATGAGGATGCTTCAGTCTCCATTCCAGTGAAAACCAGCAACTAGCATGATCTAGAACAATTTGTCTCCTCCTGTGACTTCTAAAACTATAATTTTAGGAGCAATTATTAAAAATCCAGTTTCCAATAAAGTACTTAAAAAAATCCTTTTAGAAGTTGCACCTGAAAGTTTCATGAGCATTTAATTTGCTGATATCCATTTTTATTTCTTCAGGCTTCTCACGTCGGTAGGTCACTGCTCTTGTGCAAACACTTTGCAGAATTGACTTGTCCTTAATGGAGAAGAAATATTAGCATTAATTAAGGACCTAAATATTGGAAGTAGACGATGACATATTGATAGTAATGCTTTTTTTTTAGAATTCACTGACCTTTTTGGTGGCTGACACCCTGTAATCTGCTGAGGACTTCATTTTATTACTATTCCATTGTAATATCACCTGTCTAATGATAAGGACTTTAAGCAACCCAATCAAGAACGTAACTATGAAAATGATAAAAAATATCCTCATGTAGCTTGGACTAGAGAAGCATTCTGTAATGAAGCAAACAAATAAATTGATTAAAAATGGGAAGGAGTAGGTCAAAAGATTCCAACAAGTAAACAGAGTTTACCATCTCAATTAATAGGAGCAGAGATATTTGCAAATTTACATTTTGAAAACAGAGGACTACCATTACTGTAAATTCAAAGAAGACTATCGAACTTTTATTACACCTTTATTAAAATATTTTTAACATAAAACTCTCCTTTGTAGAATAGCCACAATTAAGTATTTAATAGGAGTATTTATTTACAACTTGCTTGATTCTTAGTAGTATTAACTGGAATATGTCTAAATCCTTTAACCAAATATAATTGTATCCATGATAGAGAGAGGGTCAGTTTTTGTGATGTGTTCCCTTGATCACAAGTGGGAACTGGGATTTAAAAAATTATTTAACTGCACCCCCCCATTAGTTTATGTTCTCCTTGTTTTGTTCCTCTTCATTTGATGCAAACCAGTAATGGAAAATAAAGTAAACATCTGCAGAAGCTAAAATCAGTACTACTCTAACAGATAAAAAACATATTTCCTTTGAAATTGTAGTGTCACTTCTCATAATTATTACACATAGATTCTCCAGGAAATAAATATTACACATAGATTCTCCAGGGGTGTCCAGTTGAGGACAATACACAAAATCTCTTTCCTAAATGTTTCTTCCTTCCTTCCTTCCTTCTTTCCTTCTTTCCTTCCTTCCTTCCTTCCTTCCTTCCTTCCTTCCTTCCTTCCTTCCTTCCTTCCTTCCTTCCTTCCTTCCTTCCTTTCTTCCTTCCTGCCTTCCTGCCTTCCTGCCTTCCTGCCTTCCTGCCTTCCTGCCTTCCTGCCTTCCTCCCTCTCTCTCTCTCTCTCTCTCTCTCTCTCTCTCTCTCTCTCTCTCTCTCTCTCTCTCTCTCTCTCTCTCTTTTCATGTCTGTTAACCAAGTTTTGCATCTAAATATTCCACTTGTAGTTTTTTAAGATTAAATAATTACTAGCTGGAAAAGGATATGCTGCATTCAGAGGAGGAGCATGCTAGTTCTCTGTTTTAGCACTAGACTTTTGGCAAACTCTAGCTGGAAAGTCTACAGACTCTGTGGCTGCCAGAGGTATTATCCAAATCTAAGAGGAACATGGTTGCACAATATGTCAGTATTCCACAGAATTTACCAGCTGTTCCAGACTAAAAAAATTACCTCCTGGCCTAAAGAGGCATGTGTTTCTTGCCTATTCTTTACACTTGGGGGACTTCACCTAAACATCTAAAGATCTCCCTGAGAGGGAGGGATTTTTGGGAGGGGACCTGCCAAGACTTAGAAAAGCAATCACCCACCAGTGGGTGATCTGTGTCTGAATTCCCAGGGATTACCAAGCATGCTCTTGAATAAGCCGAGAGCTCAATAACAAGAGCAAGGGCTCCTCTCCTAATGGGAAGAGAGCGCAGTTTTCTTTTGGTGAATGATAAGATTTCCTTGAAAGAAAGGTTAAAGAGAGGCTGGAGGACCACTAATTGGAATAGAAGCACCAAACACAAAATGCTAGTTTTCCTGTTTTACACACGGAGAATCCAGGATGCTCTATTCAAAGATGATGCCCTTGGAGTCTTTCACAGCGACCTTAAAGTTTGTGACATGCATGCCTTCTATCCTGACAGATTGTCATTTCCCCTAGCTGACTCAGAGCTATTCAGTCAGCTAATATCCTTATAGGGGGCATGTGGCTTGATCCCACTTACTGGCTTCTCGCCTAGTAGAAGCTTAGCCAGAGAGACCAAAGAACACTCTTAAAGTGTGATTGAATGAATAGATAATAGAGGTGGTTAACACATGCCCTTTTTCTCTCCTTGCATAAGAGTTGTGAAGGGGAGGGGATTTCCCTACCTACCCATACATTTTACCAATGTTTATAACGGGTTAGGATAGATGACATTTTCGGGGCCTAAATCTGTGTGCATTTTTTAAATGTCATTTTGGATCAGCAAACATTAAGCCCTGGCCATGACTATCATCATGGTTTAGGTCAAATAAGGGCTTTTTCTAAGGAGCTTTAATGGAATACTTTTTGTAACCACACTTAGGTCACGGTAGGTCTGTTTACTTAACATAATAAATGACATGTTGACAGTAAGGGCTCCATTTATTAGAAAAGGCACTTAGCTTTCGGGAGTGAGTGCTACAGCCCCAGCTGGCAGCACATGGGCTCTTTTCAGAGCCAAATTCAGTATGGGCTAAAATCAGTATGGATGGGAGGGAAGAAGGATATTTTGTGCTCTCTCTTTAAGAGCTGGGATAATTCTTACAGATTGGAGAGATTATAGCTAATCTCTCCAACCTGTAAGAGAGATTATAGTAGCAGTTAAGAATGTTTTCAGTGAAGTCATAATTTCATTATGTGTCATCTTTTAATTTACATAATTCTTTCATGTTCACTGGCTCATTTAGTCTTACACTACTCTGAGATTGGTATTCCATTTTATAAATGAAAAAATTGAGGCACAGGGAAGTATTATAAGAGACGGATATTTCTTAACTACTATGTCAAGCGATATGGCTTAAGCTTAGGTCTTCAGACTAAAAGTTCCATACCCTTTCCATTGTGTCACCTTTATAATCAGTCACACTAACTTTTATTTATATAATGAAAAATATTTGGAAGGAATAGCCCCTTTGAACTTATGCACTTTAGAAAAGCATATCTTGCTACTTAGAATTTTTTGGCTTCACCCGAAATGTGAAAATGTTGATTTGACATGAGGAAGGTTATAACTGGAAACAAGTTTGGTTTATGAAAAATAATTATGGCTCTATAAGTATTGTCTTTAAGGGTGAAATGAACTCCACATAGGAAACCCCTTGGTTCACTGAGGCCTCTCTAGAAAATATGTTTGGTGTACTTTCATGGAGGTGCACAGGTTGGGAACTTACCTGTGTAGTTGAGAAGGGGGATCTAACACTTCAGCCAACTATGGCAGACACACTCAGCTAATTTTATTGAGTACCATCTCTGAGATATTGAAAACATTGAAGCAGCTAGTCCCTTCTTTAGGATGGTTGATTATGGACCCTTTTGAGGAACATGACTCAATACTTTCTCAGTGCTTTGATTACTAAGCTTTGTCTTACCTGATGTTTGGTCCACATAATGCTGTTCCATGAAAGCACATGAGGATTTACACCGATTAAGTATAGCTTGAGACAGATTGTGGGGGTGAAGACATTGCACACAATTCCTGTAAGGGGAAACAGAAGTGAAAACATAATTTTAAAAAGGTTGTAGCCTGTAGTATTTTCTACAAGAAATAAATTAGAATAGAATACTGCTTTAGGATAGCAGCCTTATAAAACTGGGAAAGAAACCTATGACACTTATTTGTAATTTTGGCTGAACTTAATACCATGGCAAAGTTACCTTCTAACCACTTAAAATATTTTAATAATATATAAAATCAAAATAATGATTCTTCTGCCTATTTTTTCTTCTAGGGTTTTTAGGGTCCTACATGTAAGCCTTTAATCCATTTTGTGCTTATTCTCCTATATGGTGTGAGAAGGGGGCCTAGCTCCATTTTTTTGCATGTATTTGTCCAGTTTTCCCAGCACTATTTATTTATTTTTATTTTTTAAAAAATATATTTTATTGATTTTACACAGAGAGGAATTGAGAGGGACAGAGAGCTAGAAACGTCGATGAGAGAGAAACATTGACCAGTTGCCTCTTGCACACCCCCTACTAGGGATGTGCCCGCAACCAAGGTACATGCCCTTGCCCGGAATCGAACCCAGGACCTTTCAGTCCGCAGGCTGACGCTCTATCCACTGAGCCAAACCGGTCCCGGCCCCAGCACTATTTATTGAGTAGACTGTATTTACCTCCTTGTATACTCTTGCCTCTGTTGTCATATATTAATTGACTACATAAGTATGGATTTATTTTTGGGCTATTTGTTCTGTTCCACTGTTCTGTGTCTGTTTTTATGTTAATACCATGCTGTTTTGATTACTACAGCCTTGTAATATAGTTTGATATCAGGTAGCATGATACCTCCAAACTTGTTCTTCTTTCTCAAGATTTCTGTAGCAACTTGGGATTTTTTGTGGTTTCATGTAAACTTTTAGATTATTGATTCTTGTTCTGAAAAAACGAACTTTGGTATTTTGATAGGAATCACATTGAATCTGTAGATTGCTTTGGGTAATATGGACATTTTAATTATGTTAATTGTTCCTATCCACGAGCAGGGTATATGCTACCATTTATTTGTATCTTCTTCAGTTTCTTTTTGGTGTGTCTTACAATTTTCTGAATACAGGTCTTTTATCTTCTTGGTTAAATTTATCCCTAGGTATTTTATTTTTTGATGCAATTGTAAATGGGGCTTTTTTTTTTTTTCCTTTTTTTTAAGTTTCCCTGTCTGACAGTTCATTATTGGTATAAAAATACTATGGATTTCTGACCTAGAAGGTATTATGATAAGTGAAATAAATTGTTCAGAGAAAGACAAATACCATATGATTTAACTTATATGTGGCATCTAAAGAACAAAACAAATGAACTAACAAAATAGAAGCAGACCCAAGAATACAGAGAACAGACTGATAGTTGCTAGAGGGGATAGGCGTTGCGGGATTAGGTGAAAAAAATGAATGGGTTAAGAAGTACAAATTAGTCATGACAAAATAATTATGGGGATATAAAATACAGCCTTGGGTTATAGTTAATAATATTATAATATCTGTATGTTGTCAGGTGAGTGCTGGAAATAACAGGGGGGAACATTTTGTAAAGTATATGATTGCCTAACCACTGAAACCAATACCAAACAATATTAAATGTAAACTGTAATTGAAAAATATTTATAAAATGACTTTTCCATCTTGAGAAGAAAATCTATAGGAAATGAATACACACACACACACACACACACACACACAAACTACATAAATGTTTTAGAAGGTGAATATTAAGACACTAATAGAAAAGTTTAACAATCAATACACAGTTCAAATTTTTGTTTAATTCATTAGAATTAATTCCATCATTATATTTAGGAAATGCATTTCTAAGAGACATAATTTGCTATCCAATCTTTAATAAAAAATTTTACTTGTGCTATTAATCAAGAAAGTGAAGGTCATATAAATTTGAATAAAACAAAAAGCACAGTGATGTTTAGAGTAGTGGCTTTGTTTGAGCAGGGCTTAAACTGTTATTGGGAAATTAATTATTGGCACAACAATAATGCTATCTTCATTTAACATATCACCTTTTATTTATCCATCATTTGTTTTTTTAGTGCTTCATAACCACCATCATTCAGTGATACTATCTAACATTTTTTCTATGATTACTGTGTATAAGTACAAAGTTTTTTAAAAAAAATATGAGTTATCTAATTTAATTCTTTCACAGAACTATAGCAAGATATTATTATTATCCTCATTTCTGAATATTGATAGAGGAATATTGATAGAGAATATCCTCAGAAAATTCCGAGAATTTCAACAACTTGCCCTAGATCAAACAGCTAATTAATAGTAAGCTGGGAAGCAAACAACCCCTAAATCATTACATTATAAACCTTAAACTTGCATAAAGTTATAGACCAATTATATATCTAAAAAGCTGGTGGGGAAACCAATGAACCATTATGAATATTGAATATTATTATTAAAAAAAAGCAAACCTTATTCTCAAAATTGAAGACAGTGAATGCTTGTTAAATTCTGATACTCCACAGCTATCTAGTGGCCAAAAATTGGAATCTAATCTTAAAATCCCCAAATCCCCTACTCAGCTCTCTTTTAGCATGATGATAATTAATTTGGAGGAGAAGATGCAGCACTTCTAGGGTTATGAAAGGCAGAATAAGAAGGACAAGCATAGCTGTAATGGAATACTGCTTCATGCATGTTTGAGTCAGAGAACACATACCAGTTTTCATTGCACCCTATGTGACACGTGGGGCAGTGTTCACAGAAGCGGCCGATGCTCCTGGGGTCAGTGCACTCGCACTTGCCACATACACATGTGCCTCTTCCACTGCACACTTGGCCCTTGGGATTGACACAGTGTTGGGCTGATGTTGATGGGCACTGGCACCGATCTCCTTCCCAGCCGCTGAAGCACCGGCATCTGCCTGCTTCACATTCTCCGTGCCCTGCAACAGACACCAAAGGATCTCAGTTATTGGGGCCACCGACTTTGGGAAGCATTTCCAAATGTGAATTCCCTTCCCATTTCCATGGAAACACCCCGAGAGTGAGGTGAGTGCAAACAACATCATTTTCTACTTGTCTGATATAAACAATGCCAGGATATAGTGTCTATTTCTAAAGCTGTTCTAGTGTAATCTGATGCTGTTGTATTGTGCTGACAGTTGTGAAGTCTGCCCAACTGCTTGAAAGTCACTGTATATTCAGTTTTAAATTAAAAACACAAATATAACTAAGCTATGAAGACTGAAGTAATGTTAACTGCCTGATTTGAAAAGAGGGGTATTTGATTAATAGCTCCCATAATTTATTCTCTTGTCTTTCCTTATTGCTAAGGACCTGGAATCACTTTGAAGGTTCCTGAGGCAAACCATCTAGTTCTGCAAGTTTAAAGATAAGATTTCTAGAGAAGCCAAACTAATCGTTTCAAGTCTTCAGGACATTAGTTGGCAGGGAACATCAAAAGTACGCTATGCACTATTATTACTGGGGTATTGAGAGAAAGCAAGGCGGTAGATATGTATGTTTGTTGGGATTGAGGCATTTATGCCAACAAATAAGTTGAGAAAAAACACGAGTAATATGTAGTTAATGCATTTTAGACTGCAGAAGTATCCAAGATTTAATATGCTGATGTGAACTAGAAGTCTTCAAGAGGGGGTACATTTTACAGGATTATGTAGTGTTTCTTGGGCTAATTTATCCACAGGATCCTCCCTCCCTCCCTCTCTCTCCATCCCTGTCTCTCCTTCCCTCCCTGCCTTCTTCCCTGTCTCCCTCCCTCTATTGCAGAACACCTCACAAGGTAACTGTTACATAGGGTGTACTTTTGGGTTGGCTCAATTTGCTAAGCGTAAAACTGATGAGATTCAGGCCAAATAAACACCTGCCAGACCCTGTACCCTGTGAGCAGGCTGCACCACTAATCCTAGGCAGCCGACCTGTGAACATGTGTTTCTATTCTCAAGGGGGACCAGTGAAGAAAATGCTTATCAGTCTACAGTTTGCACTTACAATTTATATACAAATAATTCAAAGCAGATTCTTAGCTGCCTGTGTGTCAGTAGTATCATAGTCATATAGAAGAGCGTCAGTACATTAATTTTTGATATCTACATATATAAAGAGGTAATATGCAAATTAGCCAGGACACCTTAAAGCATCACCACTGGCTCAGGAGAAGGCTGCATCACGACTGGCTCAGGAGGAACTGCATGTGCAGATGGATGGGAGGGGACTGTGTGCTGCCCCAAGCCCCAGTGGCTGTGGGGAGGATGGGGCTGGGGCTGGGCCTGGGCCAGAGCAGAGACACAACAGCAGGGGTGGGGGTATGCTCTGAGTGGTCAAAGTGCAGAGAATGCTTCCACCCCAGCAGACACACCAGGGGGGCCTCTGCGCGTGAAGCTGCAGAGGAAACACCTTTTCTGAAGGCTCATTGGCTAAGCTCCCTGTACACCGCCACTCACAATGTTCTTGGTAACTTGGATAATAAGAATCCAAGAAGGTGATCTAAGGTTTTCCCACCTCACTCCTGGAGGGAAAAACTAAGGTCCGCTGCTGGAAGGGCTAAGAAATGTCATATTCTGCCCTAGCCAGCTGGGCTCAGTGGATAGAGCCTCAGCCTGCCTACCACAGGGTCCAGGTTCGTTTCTGATCAAGGGCATGTACTTAGGTTGCAGGCTCCTCCCTGGCCGAGGCCCAGGTCAGGACTCATGCAGGAGGCAACCAATCAAAGTGTCCCTCTCACATTCATGTTTCTCTCTGTCTTTCCCTCTCTCTTTCCGGCTCTCTAAAAATCAATGGAAACATATTTCCAGGTGAGGATTAAAAAAAAAAAAGGGTCATATCCTATGAAAGACACATTTTGAAAATGCCTAAAGAAAATTGTCAGTTTTTCATGGTGAAGAGACTGGAGTCTGTTGATGAAAACACCTTGGTGGCTGCAACAGCCAGTGGTGGCAGCATCAGTGGGGTGGTGTGGGTGGCACCTTCCCCTGATCAGCCCAGTCACCTCCTGTAGAGGGAAGCCAGACTGCGGTTTAAGCCATCAATAGGACATCTCCTGAGAGCTCCTGGACTGTGATAGGGGGCAGGCTGGACAAGGGACCTCCTCCTCCCCCCCTCCCAACACCCCAGTGCACAAATTTCATGCATCGGGCCTCTAGTCTATATATATATATATATATATATATATATATATATATATATATATATATATATATATAAAAGGCTAATAGGTTAAGTGTTCATCCAGGTAATGACATCACTTAGCAATGCTTGGCTTCCTCTCCCTAGCAACAACTAGCCTCCTTGCAGTTTCTTCAGACAAGGCTTTATAGCCAGGTGAAACATTTCACACTTTAACCAAATGTATGTGAAGCATTTTCCCATCCCTCATCTCTGATCCTCACAAAAGTACTAGAGTAGGTAGATAGTAGAGTTGGTAGGATCCTATTTTCTTTTCATTAGCCAGAAAATGGAGATGTAGAAAGCTTAGAAACTCGACCTGACTGAAAAGAAGTAAGAACTGGTGAATCTTGAAAATGACTTCAGGTTTTCTCACTGTGCAGAATATAGACAAACACTGCTGCAGTTAAATATTTTACCCTTTGTTCTCCCTGTGTGATCTACAACAATAATCTGCTTTGTGTTGATACTTACTGCTGTGTTGCTCACAATTACCTGAAAGAGAAGTTGGGGTGTTTCACTGGCCTGGAAAAAGTTTAGTACATCAGAAAGCAGGTCTAATTAAGCAAGTTTATTCTCTCTATATATAAAAGGCTAAGTTGACTCATGCATGTACTATACATATAAAGCTCTCGCTTGCGCCGATCACATACATGTGTTTTGATCTGTTACTGTCGATCATGAATTTGGTTGACGCTTCTATTGTAAAGGGCAAATAGCCATATTAAAATATTTCTTCTAATTAATTTCCTTTCAATGTACACAAATTCGTGCACCGGGACATTATTTTTATTATAAACAGAGGCTGGGATTTTTCAATGCATTTCAAATTTCTTTGATTATATCAACAGCTGTGGAAAAGAATCTCAGATTCTTTCTCTTCCCTCTCCCAAAGAGGATTAGTTAAAAAAAATTAGCAGATAATTACTGTTTTGTTCTAAAGTCATCTATAATCCATTTTACATATGATAGCAGGTTGAGCTGAATACATGTTTAAAATATAAAATATTTTGTGTATATAAAAGAATAAAAAAGCCATATGTCATCACATATTTTTGTGATATAGGACAAAATTTTAGCTTACACACACAAAATAATTTATTTTGTATAGCTTTTTTACTTTCCATATGCTTATTATATACAATGAAATATTTATCAATAATTTAATTAATATTTGTTTACCAAAATGCAAAGGCATTTTAACAATAAGTGGATTTAGTGCATTGTCACAGAAAAATTAATTCATTGAAAAAAATGATTTGTATTTTTAATTTTTAAATGCTGCAGATTTTCTGGACTCTAACCTCCAGATGGCAGTAAACTGAATTAGCCAGCAAGTGCTTAGGTTTCTGTTTTTAAATTTGGTCTGTGGGGGCCTCTGGGACTAATGTAGATTACTAATGAAACCACTATTTTCTTGAAGAATGCCATCTCTTGACAATTTTGTGTCTGGTATTGTTACAAAAATAGACTGGAGAGTTTTAAATAACTGCAACTTCCTACTATCACCTATAATAATGCATTAACCATTTTCCAATGAATAAAAAGTATATTTTTAAAGTTCACTATCCTCTGAGCAAGCTAGAGGGAGTGACCACTTATGAGAATGAATCAGATCCTTCTAGAAGAATACTCTGATTATAACAAGCTTGTCAGACATCATCTGTAATTTCCTTTCTGGCATATATCTTCGCAAGGGCAAGGCATACTTGAGGATAATAACTCATTTTTATTTTTTATTTTTAACTACTTACTGTATACAATTATTTCAAATATAAAAATAAGAATCATGTGGTATAAATTTGTTGTTATGCCTTAACTTCACGGACTCTGAAATTTAAAAAATTAAATTCAGATTCAAGGTTAATAATTATAAAGCTGTGATTTAAAGATACTTAAACATATATGCTAATTTTATAATGACTAGTGAAAACTGCATGTATATTTGTATATTTATACTCACCGGCACATAGATTTCCTTGGTGATATGGACAAGAGAAATCATCCTTTTCACAGTATTTTCCATATACTTTTCCAAGCTTAGTTTTATGACACAAACATCTCCCACAAATACAAACTCCTCGACCACTGCAAAAAGGTTGATCCTTGTGTGACTTGCAACTCTCAGAAGGGACTTGATCGTCATCAAAATGACATTTATCCTCATCACATTGGAAACACTTGGAGTCTAGTAAAGTTTCATCTACACACTTTCTTTTAGGTCCTCTAATTTCATCACACTCACAGCTGCAGTTTCTGTGTATATGAATTTTAGTGGTTTCATTGAAACCAATAGGTTTGATTATTGCATAGCTTTTTCCTCCTGTGACGTCACAGTTTTTCATTATAACTGTTACATTGAAAAGAACCTAAATTTCGGGCAGGGGAGGAGAAAAATATATGTCTTGATTATTTTTATTACCAATATTACATCTATTAATGACATTTTGAATCAATATTCCATATTACAGAAATTCATATTTATAAATTACACAATCATTCTTTCATACAGAGATGTAACATCTCTCTTTAATTTTACTTGTTTCCCAATTAATGAACTAGAGCAATGGTTCTCAACCTTTCTAATGCCGCGACCCTTTAATACAGTTCCTGAGGTTGTGGTGACCTCCCAACCATAAAATTATTTTTGTTGCTACTTCATAACTGTAATTTTGCTACTGTCAATGAGTCATAATGTAAATATTTATGTTTTCTGATGGTCTTAGGTGACCCTGCTAGTAGTTCTCAAATTTACCAAAAGGAAAATATATATTCACACTAAAGAGAAAGGAAGATTCTCTTTTATTCAATATTAGGATCTTAGGACTTTCTATCTCTTTGAATAACTCATATTCCTTTTCTCTATATAATGGCATTAAAATAATTAATAACATCATACAGCATTAGAAATGGAAGCAAAGGGAATTATAAATCTCCTAGTACAAGCTATTCACTTAAATATGAGGCAACTGATGGCTCAAAAGGTAAAAGACTCGCTGGAAATCACTTCATCCAAGAATAATTCCCTTTAAAAGCATGTTTTGGTGTGTTTACTCTCTGTTGTGGTGGTCACTGGAGAATATCTCCTCTGATCCTGTTTCCTGATCCTAGGGGCCTCTCTTTTCCACATTTCATCCTTTTTAATTAAATGATGGCACTGCTTTTTTATTGTTCTAACAAATTTCCCTACCTCCTCCTAGATCATTATGAATGTACCAGAGGCCTGATGGATGAAAATTCATGCAAGAGTAGGCCTTCCTTCCCCTGGCTGCTGGCACCGGCTTCCCTCCAGCAACCGGGACCTGGGTTGGCTTCCCTCCGGCCCTGGCTTTATCAGGAAGGACTTCCGGAATGGCGTCCGGAAGGTGTCTAGTCTAATTAGCATATCACCCTTTTATTTCTATAGGTTGGGACAACCCCAAAGTGAAAGATTTTGGAATTCTTAGTCTTTATCAGCTGTTCCATAACTCCCATTCTTTTCTGTGGCTTATTCACCTTCAGTTTCACATTTGCTCTGAGAATTTTCAGATTTAAAACCAAAAATATTAATATCATCATAAATGCAGATACTACTAATTTGAGGAGATGTGATTTTCTAATATTTAACGGCTGGGAAACCTTGATTTAAAGATATTATCATTGAATAAGTATTTAATATAATATATGCTTATATTTAACTTGAGAGTTTGAGAGAACAGTCAATGAAATTAAAACAAGCAGGAACTTTGCAAAGAGACAATAAAAGTTACTTTGAAATCTAAATAAGATCCTTGGGGTCAGAGATTAGTAAAGGTTTTTAGGATGTTTTGATTTTCTGTGAGGAAGCACACCAAACAGCTTAGTTTACTTGAAATAGGAAAAAACGCGCACCCACATACTTCATCATTGCTCGTTACGTTTCTGCATCCTTCTGTGCCTGGCCTTCTGGTCCCATCTGGACAGATCGCGGTAATGTTTAAATCGATGCCTTTTATCTGGTTTTCCACCTGAACTTTCACTTCTGAAATAAGTTTCTGCAGAAACGTCATTTAAATTTTTTTTTACTATAGCATTATCAAATATAAGAAACTAACAGTTTTATTGTCATTCTAGATTTAACTTAAAGATTCTGTCTCTATTAAAGGATGAATAAAAACATCATTTCCATATAATAACCCAATTATATTTGAAATCTGTAAGAAATACTGAAGATTAAACTAACTGCATTTAATTGCTCTATTTTAAATATATATTGATGCATTTCTTGCATTTTGATAGCTTCAAAGATAAGATAAATCTTACTCAGCCTGTTACAAAAATAGTAATTTAATCCAATAATATTTATATTATATAAACAAAAATAGTAATTTAATCCAATAATATTTATATTATATAATACAATTTAAATAAAACATTGAGAACACATACCATCAGAGAGGGTAAATCTTTTTTAAAAAATATATATTTTATTGATTTTTTTTTTTACAGAGAGGAAGGGAGAGGGATAGAGAATTAGAAACATCAATGAAAGAGAAACATCGATCAGCTGCCTCCTGCACACTCCCCACTGGGTATGTGCCAGCAACCAAGGTACATGCCCTTGATCGAAATAGAACCTGAGACCCCAGAGTCTGCAGGCCAATGCTTTATCCACTGAGCTAAGCTGGTCAAGGTAAAAAGGGTAAATCTTGACAGCTTAAAATATGAAACATATTTCTGACCTTTACAGCTGTCAAGAAACATTTCAGTTTCAAATACTTGAGATTATCATGAAGGCTAAAACGCCTTATTAGTACAAAATTGAAAGACAATTTTTGGAAGGCAATTTCTATACAATAGGCAAAAGAATTACCTTTTGGCCCTATACTAGTCAATTTTCCATGAATGGTCTAGGATTTTTGCCAAGTTCCTCAGGCTTGCTTGTGTCAATCAAATATGTCCATTTCTTAATACTGAACTAGACTCCCTTACTGAGCAGAAAACCATCCACTCATTTATGCAAACTTTCAAAAATCATTTATGTAATGCCATTTATGTAGATCATGTATCAAGCACACATTTCTTCCATTAAAATCTCTGAGTTCCAAAAATTCTAGCTACATTAAATATATACTATAGATCTGTGTGTATTTTCATTTTATAAAACTAAGAGTTTACACATGCAAAAATTCTTAACATATACTTGTAAACAAAAGGAAGGATAAAGATGACATATAGAACTAAGGAAAGAGAGTGAGTAGATGGATATGAAGAAAATAAAATAGTTTCCACTGTCTTCTAATTATTTACTTCAATAATTTTTCTTCTTCAATTGTATAATCAATAAAAACATGTATACTAATTATAATTAATCATGAAATTATGATAGTAACTCTTTAAAACAGATACTTCCTCAAATTAGTAAATTTTATTTGGGTTAGGTAAGATTGTATGCGCCACATTTTTTTTTTTTAATCTCCCAAAGAACTCATACATTATAATCACTTAATTGAACAATTTTGGCAAACCAACAGAAACTTTTAATAGTATACAAATGGGATTGATATGGTGATGGTTTGACAGATCAGAAGGAAATTCCTCATATTCTGAGTGCCCTTCTGAAATTCTGCTTCTCTTAAAACCTTGAGCTATTATACCAATGTTTTCAAGTAGGATATTGAAGATAAATATCTAAAATGTTGACCAGTTTTGGCATTTAGAAGTTAAGCTGCAAACACAGTCTTAAGCTTCACTTTTAATGACCAAAAGGCACAGAGGTAGAATTTATTTTTTGTAATGCATAATTGTTATATTCTATATATTTTCCCTTCATTTCAGCTAAATTACTATTGTTTTTAGAGTTATGATTTTAAAAAATATATATTTTAATGATTTTTTTACAGAGAGGAAGGGAGAAGCACAAAGAGTTAGAAACATCTATGAGAAAGAAACATCCGTCAGCTGCCTCCTGCACACCCCTTACTGGGGATGTGCCTGCAACCAAGGTACATGCCCTTGACCAGAATTGAACCTGGGACCCTTCAGTCCGCAGGCCGACACTCTATCCACTGAGCCAAATCAGTTAGGGCTAAAGTTATGATTTTTATGTCATTTAAATTCTACTGGTGGTGTTGATGTAAAAGATAAAAAATAAAATGTAATTACATTCACCATGTACTAAATTTGTATGTACTTTTATAAAATTCTTATAAATGAAGTGCAAAAAGTGAAAAGTTAGAATGAAAATATTTTTATTCTTTTTTCCATCAATGAATTCTGAGTTGTTTCTGTTGGACTGTGGAAACAAAATGAAATTTCAGAAGAATTTTGAAAATATAGATCTATAAAATAATAACAGAATCTCAACTTAAGAAGATTACTTAGCCAGAGTAATTTTTTTTTCGATTTACTAGTATTTTTCCATTGTTTAAGGTTAATCAGAACTGCAATTAGCTTAAGGCTTCACATACCTACCCTATGCAAATAAGAAACCTAAAGCCAAATGCTGCTGTTTCCTTTTCATTGGTGCAGTCTGATACCCAGGCAAGTGTGTCAATTTATATTAGTTGTTTGGGGTAATAAATGGGTTCATATTATAATATAAAAATTAAGATGGCTTCTAATACTCTGAATTCCTTCCTTATTTTGATTATTCTTGAGAACAAACTATGGATGGGAATGAATTGTACACACAGTTAATTTTCTTTGATAAGAAGCTCCGCCAGTCCTAATGTTCATTGGTAACATGGAGAAAGAAATAGAATTAAAAATACACTTCCTTACTTTAATGTATTTTCAGATATACAAACAATTTTTTGGTTAAAAAAAAAAATCTCACAGGATTTATTTTCCTTTAAAAACTTTTTTCACAAGATCAATTTTTCTTTTTAAAAAAAGGAAGTTTAAACAAGTCCTTCATTTTCTATCCTTTCTGTCTTTCCCATCTGTACCCGAGTTGAAGGCAGATGATGCATGGAGAAAATGAGAAGACTGGGATTTCTCACAATGCTTGGGCTACTATTTCCGCTATTCAACTCTACTGTGTCAGAAAGGGAATCAGAGAAATTTGGGAAGTGAGACTTTATTAATGGTCCATAAATTTAAGGTATAATAAAACACATCTTTGGATGCTATGTAAAATGAAAACAAAAAAACAAAACAAAATGGGTGGAATCACTTGGCGCCTGGGGTTAAGGAAGACCTGGATTCTATTCCTGCTTCTTCTGCTTGTTAGTTGTTTGACCTTTGGTTAATTTGCTTAGCTCCTTTGGGGGTCTATAAATGTGTAATGGGAATACTAATCCCTGCCTTATAGGTCAGGTGTGCAGATTAAATGAGGTCACATGTGGAAAGTAACTGGTTCTTAGTGGAATTAAAATAACAGTCACTATTATAACAACATCCTAATAGAGAATTATTTTCAGGAATAACATAGGTTGAAAGAGCAGATGTTTCCTTATATCTTAGCATTTGGCATCCACTCTTCACAGGCTGGGGACAGCATACAACTGTCAATAAAATAGAATATCTCTTAAGGTGATCCTTTTGTTCAAACTAGTTTCATAAAACTGCTAAAATAATTGATTGGACAATCAAGTGATTGATTCAGGAAACCCTCTTAGTAATCTCACTATCCCCAGTTTTCATTTTATTTGACAGGTTGCCACTTCATATACCAGTGTGGGTTTCTTACTTTATCTTTATGATATAGGAAGATGTGAAATTTCTTGGTAATAAAGTACATTCTATTGTCCTGATTTGGTGACTCACTGAATGTTTGATTTGGAAGGAAATTTAGATTGCCTGCAGCCCAACCTGGGTTTATTGTCAGTGAGACACAATGAGGCACATACCTGTGACTTTCCCCACAAGGTTCCATGGCTCATCAGTGGGAGAGCCAGGGCTGAATTAGGTTCTCAATTCTAAATGTAATGTTCTTCCTACCACACCTTTCAAGATGATACGGCACTAGTTTGTACCTTGTCATAGAAAGTGGGGTTAAAAATAATTTGGAATATATATGTACATACCTGATAGGCTTCTACTACCAAATTATTAAGGTTTGCAGCCTTGGATTCTATTTCCCCAGCAATGGTACCAGGCAACAGGGGCAGAAGATCCTGGAATATATACAAATAAAATTTATTAATGACAATCATATGCAATGGTTTAGCAATCAACAAGTAGTAAAAATTCTTGTAGTTACCAGTGAGTGGTGATATTACATGAATAAAAAAAAATGAGAAAAGAAAATGGTGTGTATATGTGTATATGCAAGAGTGTGTGTGCATGTACAAATTACATGCTGACCTAAAGCCCAGTCAAAGTACAGACCAACATTTCTCAAAGTGTATTCCATGGTACATAGTTTCAAGAGATTTTAAACATGAAAGGGTCCTAAGGGAAGATAAGTTTGCCAAGTTCTACACATGGTTTCTTTCACTTAGAGACTAAAAATATACACTTGAAAATTGAAGGTTCAGAGAAGTCTTGCGATTCAGAAATGAATTAGCATTATTTAGTGCAGCATTTCCTACCATTTCTTAAAATATATATATATATATATATATATATATATATATATATATGTATATATGTGTGTGTGTGTGTGTGTGTGTGTATACGTGAGTGAATATATATATATATATATATATATATATATATATATATATATATATTTAAGAGAGGAAGGGTGAGGGATAGATAGAAACATCAATGATGAGAAAGAATCATTGATCAGCTGCCTTCTGCATGCCCCCTTCAGGGGATTGAGCCCTCAACCCAGTCATGTGCCCTGACCAGGAATAGAACTATGACCTCCTGATTCATAGTTTGACACTCAATCTCTGAACCACACCAGCCAGGCTCCCACCATTTCTTTAATTACAAAATTCTTTTCTTATATAACATATATAAACATTTCGTAGAATGACTGTTTCATGGAATGAACTTTATCACATGTTGGCCCAGACTGGAGAAAAAAATAATAGTAGGGGAAGCTTCATTTGGTAGGTGTTCTTGATGGATCTTCTTTATTACTGAATAATTATGGAGAAGACTGTATGTATTCCTGGTGAGAAAAAGAATTAGCAAAGCCTTAAGGATTTATCTGAATTAGAGATAAAATAAAAAGAGAGAAGAAAACAGTCTGATTAGAGTGAAGGATGCATAGCTAACCTACTAGGAACCAGATTATGGAAAGTCTTGAAATCCATTTATACACTAATTTTTATCATTCATAAGTATTAAGTTCTTGCTGTATGCTAGCCACTATGTAGTCACTATCAACTTGGAATTGTAGGTAATAGGAAAAATGTATTACCTGTACTTTTAAAAAATCCATTTGTAAAACCTTTGTTGAGCACCTATTGTGTACCACATTGGAAATGCTAAATTGTTAGGCCACTTACTTTCCATTTTTAAAGATCCCACTGGTGCATAAATGACAATTTCACAAAACAATGTCCACATGAAACAAAATAATGAATGCACAGACCCTAATGGGAGGGACAACCAGGAATCATTTGAGGGTTGTGGAAGGTTGACAGGGACTGCTTCCTGGAGGAGGTGACATATGAGCTGTATCTTAAAGGATGAGTAAGATTTAGTCAAGTAACAAGGGAGAAGGGCTTCCATCCTTGGGAGATGTTGGAGAGCCGATTTCAGCCTGATCCCACAGGCCAGGCTGAGGGACCCCACTGGAGCACGGATTTGTGTACTGGGTCTCTAGTCCATACTAATAAAAGAAAAAGATGCAAATTGACCATACCTTCGTGACACCCACCAGCCAATCAGGAGTATGCAAATCAACCCAACAAATATGGCGGGCTAATTTGCATACACAGGCACTGAACTGGGGCGGGCAGGGTGGAATGCTTGCTTCATCACTATGGTGATGACTCAGGTGTTCTGCACTGCCCCAGCAGCTGTGGGCCTCTGGGCAGCATGGAAAGACAGAAAGGCAGCTCCGGGCCAGAGCAAAGGCAGAAAGGCAGCTCCGGGCCAGAGGGAAGGTGGTGCCAGCAGCTAGAGGAAGGAAGGCCCATTCTTGCACGAATCTTCATGCATCAGGCCTCTATTCTGTTATAAGGATCTTTCTATGGACTAGCACATAAGCAGGACCCTGGATGTAAAGGTATAGCTGGAGTGTGAACTATTTTTTACAATATTGTCACAGGTAGCACCACACTAAGTATCAGTGCCCACACTTGATTCTAGTTGCTATACAGAAAATTTATACTTCATGCTAACTTTACACACTGTGTAGTATACATTAGTTCTTACCTGGGATTCGAAGAAGTATTCCAGTTTCAACTACCAAAGCAAACATTTTAACTTTTGTATTTGGGAATGAACATACCTTATACCAATGGAACTGTTTTCCTTGAACTGCAAAGATGACATTAATGTTGTTGTCTATTAACTTTTCTGAGAGTTGGCCTAGCGAGGGATGTTCCTGTTAATGGACAATGAAATAAAGAAGGGAGTGACCTTCAGTAGCTTGATCCCATACATATCCAAACATTTTTTTGGAGGGAAACCACATGACTGACATAAAAATGGTTTTTGTTGGGAAGGGTTATGGTTTTACTGGAGACATTTAAATTGTTTAAAAAAATAAGATCAACATCAATGTATTAAAGAATGTTTTATAGACAAAAGCTCCATGAAAGTAAATAGCATATGTCTAAAAAAAAGGGATGAATTCAACATAATACACAAAGTATTAAGTGCCTCTTTAGATAACATTGTGATCAAAGTGATATAACTGAAAGATAATTTAATATTCAGACAGACTTATTAGTGATAATCACATTCTGAGGAAAAATTCAATAAAAAGTGTTTAAAGGCAAATATGTGCATATGCATACACATATATACACCCATTCATACTTAAGATATATACATATATATCTGTATATATATATAAAACATATATATATTTGATATATAACATAATATAGTACAAATTCTGTTTAAAAGCAGAAAACTGTACTCAAATTCCAAGTTGTCACTTTATGATAAAAGTCCTATCTTAGGTCCATCTTTCTAACATGTGAATGGTATCTGATTCTATTATTGCTGTCAAGATGAAAAATATAACAATAGTATGTGAACTATTTAGTGTAGCTTCTTTCATAGAGTAGGTACTCAAACTAATAGCAATTATCAGATTTTACTTCCCTCTGTAGGTTTCAGATCTCTCAACATATTATTCTACTTAAACTTTTTGTCATATATATATTATAAATCTGTTTTACTTTGATAAATAAAACGTACATAGAGCCAACTTGACATTCCTTGTAGTAGTGAGAAAGCTTGGGATGAGTAGAAGGGGAATAAAATTTATTTTAGCATATATGAGAAATCTGACAACTTGGAAATTGCTATATCTAGTGATATTGTTAAATACTGTACTTGCTATTTTTTCTTTCTGTAAATGCTCTTCTAGAAATTAAACTCATAATCTCAAATAACAACTTCATACCACACACCTCTCAGAGAGGTGATGTCAAACTTTTCCTGAAGTGGTCCTCACCTGTCCATTGGTGCCTATTGCATTAGCCATGGATCATGTGACTGGGCCTAATTAGTATCATGTGGCTCAAGTTCAAGTTACTATGTAGTTTTTATTCCCCTGCTAGCCTCCAATTCTAATTGTGTTTGTTTAAGGGAAACTTTTGTTAAACAATCTTGATTAACATTTCTGTATTTTGACAAATAAGTGAACTTAGTAAAAAACTAATTTTGTTAATTTTGCTTATAGCCTAAGTTCTGTAACACATATATTAAATGTATATACAAAGACATAGAAGATAGCCTTATGCTTAAAATACTATCACTAATATGAGCCATTGCTATGATCTGAATATTTGTGTCTCCCTCCCCAAATTTATGTTTTGAAATCCTAACCCTCAAGTAGATGGTATTGGGAAGAGGGTCTTTGGGATATGATTATGTCATGAAGGTGGAGCCCTCATGAATGGAGTAGTTCCCTTATAAAAGAGGGCCAGTAGAAAAAGCTCTCTTGCCCTTTTCACCATGCGAGGTTACAGCTAGAAGTGTCTCCTATGAAACACATAGTAGACTTTCACCAGACCCTGAATATGCCAGTGCCTTGTTCCTGGACTAACCACTCCTCAGAACTATAAATTTCTGTTGTTAATAAGCTCCCCAGCCCTAACTGGTTTGGCTCAGTGGATAGAGTGTTGGCCTGCAGACTGAATGGTTTGATTCCGGTCAAGGGCATGTACCTTGATTGCAGGCAGATCCCCACTAGGGGGTGTGCAGGAAGCAGCTGATTGATGTTTCTCTCTCATTGATGTTTATAACCCTCTATCCCTCTCACTTTCTCTCTGTAAAAATTCAATAAAATATTTTTAAAAAAACAAAAGTTTATGGGTTTTTGTTACAGCAGCCCAAATGGACTAAAATAACCGTAACACATATGCTTTTTTTTTTTTTTGTATATAATTTATAATTGCTGTGGTAGAAGCAAATCAAATTTTCATGAACTGCATTTAAATGTGATATGAAGCCAATTCATGAAGAAGTTAAAAAAGCATTAGCACATGGATTTCCATAAGAACAATTTTGCCCAGAGCAATTCGTAAAATATACTAAATTTAAGGTAATGGAAAAATAATTCCTCAAATATAAATTCTACCAGATAAATTCTTTAAAAATATATATATTTTATTGATTTTTTACAGGAGGAAGAGAGAGGGATAGAGAGTTAGAAACATCGATGAGATAGAATCATCGATCAGCTGCCTCCTGCACACCCCTTACTGGGGATGAGCCAGCAACCAAGGTATATGCCCTTGACTGGAATCGAACCTGGGACCCTTCCGTCCGCAGGCCAACGCTCTTACCACTGAGCCAAACCGGTTTTGGCTCTACCAGATAAATTCTTATTCCTTGTCCCTAATAATATGTATACTCTTAAAATAGATGCATGACAGTTTGCATAATGCTAGTAAATTAAAGACAACAAGTAAAGGAAAGTTAAGTCTAGCTGTATTGGGAGTATTTCTAAATGGCAGCAACTACTTTTCAAATATTTTTGCTTTGACAAAAAAATAATCACAATTTGTCAACCATTCCCCCTTCTTAATTTTTTAAAATCATTCATATTTTAGGGAAAATTAAATCCATATGCTTTTTTTTTTAAACTAGCTTATACTAAACTCAGTCCAGCATATAAGCAGCTTTAGAAGCCTTCTTAATCTCTTTCCCCTTCCAAAAACAGGAAGTCCCGTTGACCAAAAATACACAAAATAAAAATCAAGAAACTTCTAGTTTGGTCAAAAGCTCATTAAAAAAAGGTCAACTGGACTTTTAAGCTTAGAAGAACACATTTATTTTGAACCCTAGAAATAAATCTGTTTTAAAAGAAAATTCCTAGTACCTTGATGCAGATTTGTTAAAATTACAAATGCTTAACAGATGTTTAAATAAACCACTGTTGACAGGAGAGTTGTGGATTAATGGCCATGGTTGAAACCCCTGCCCTTTTCCTCCATGAAGCACATTATCTTTTAAGTATTTTATCTTTTATGTCTAGTATTTCACTAGCAGGAACACTCCCTCTCTGCCAGCTGTTGTGGTGACGTCACTGCTCCTCTTCTCTAACTCCCCCTTTGTCTACTCTAACCCATCACACATTGTTTCTCTAAACTCTGAAAATAGTTAATAGTGATAACAGGCATTCCTGGAAGAAGGGAAAGCAGTGTGCCAAGACAGCTGCAATGTAATTAAGGGCAAAAGGATTCTTTCACATTTTTCTTCTTCACCAACACCTTCACTGTGACTTGTGGGAAATGACTTTAAAATGTCAGAGGGAAGAGGAGGTAAGAAAGATTTGTTGAAAGCAATTTTGGTTAAAGAGATAACTGTGTAGTGATGTATGGGAGAATTTTTAAAATATTTTTTTATTGATTTCAGAGAGGAAAGGAGAGGGAGAGAGACAGAAACATCAAGGATGAAAGCCCCCCCCCCTACCCCCACCCCAACACACACAACACTTATCTAGGGATTGAGCCCGCAACCCAGGCATGTGCCCTGACAGGAAACTGAACCATGACCTCCCGATTCATGGATTGATGCTCAGCCACTTGATCCATGCTGGCCGGGCTATGAGAGGATTTTAATATGTGCTTATGTAGTGGCAAAAAAACAAACAAAACTGTTTAAGATTCTCTTCATAAAAGTGAGATTCATAAAAAATTTTTATAAAATAATATAGAATTTGTAGTATTACATATCATGATATGCCTCCCAAAACCCCAATGCCTTCATTAAAGTTCTCAATCACCTGGACTATTTTTTACAGTTTACTTTTTAGAGGAAAGAGACAACATGAAAGCAATCTTACAACAGAGATTTATTTAGAAATAAAGACTTCACATTATGTATCTTCATCCTATTTTTTTATGTAAATGTCTACACAGTAAAATTGCATAGACCAGGATTTCTCATTAGTGGCACTATTGACATTCTCAAGGCAAGTATTCTGTGTTGTGGTTGGGGGTCTGTCCTGTGAGTGGAGGAGCTTTAGCAACATCTGTGACCTCTATTTGCTAGATGCTAATTTCTCCCACCTCTCCCAGTTGTAACAGGCAAAATGTCTCTGGACATTGAGATGTCCTCTGGTGGACAGAATCACTCTAGTTAAGAACCATACCATTAGCAGGATCTCTGAAAACAAACAATTTTGGGACTTCAACTCCTGCTTCTGCAATTACTAGCTATGTCAACACTGGCCAGCTGTCTTAACCTCTCTGTGATCCAATTTCCTTATGTATAAAAGAGGTATAAATGCCAGTATCTACCTCTCAGAGTTATGATAGAAATTAAATGTGTTACCAAGTGTAAAGGCTTTTACTTACCATCCTCTAATTATTAAGCTTACATTAGTGGTCAGTAGCAGCTCATGTCCTGATGTCACACTGATTGGCATTTACCATAGGCAGTACAGATTAGGGCTGGGATGTCTGACCCCACACAAGTTCCTGATCCTTTTACTGTTTCCATTTTCCATTTATAAAATGGAGGTGATAGCAATATCTGCACCTCACTGAGTTGTTGGGTGGTGGTGTGTAAATGTAAGGGACAAACACCACAAACAACTGCCTAATAAAAAACAGCTTTCACTAAAAAACTTAATAAAACTTAATAAAAACTTAATAAAAAACTTAATAAAACTTAATAGAGGTGCAATAGCATCCTCTAAAATGCAATTATGGAGAGATGACTTCAGTGACTTTGCAAGACTTCAAAAGAATAATAAAATTTTTATTATATGCTTTAATTTGGCCATATTAGAAATATTGTTATTATCCTGAGACTAAATAGATTATACAAATTCCTTAATAAAACTTAATAAAACTTAATAAAACACTTAATAAAACACATTTTGATGCCATTACTAACGGCTAGATATTGGGCTATTGGCTATGCTTTGTTTGACTTGTCTGATATATGTACCCTTGGTAACTGGCTCCTGAAGCATTTGAGTTTGTGGCTCCTGCCTGACCCAGTATCAATTGTAATCATGATGTCCTAGTTACCGAGGTGAGGGACATGAACTAATAATTTTTATATGCTTGTCAGTCAATGAGTGGTAATAAAATGTTTTATGCTTAAATGTGAACTGAAACATAATTTAATTTGGAACACTGAAATTCTTAAATATTTTCATCAAATTTTGTTTTCATTGTGTCACTGAGGCAAACCATTTTTCCCCCCCTCATTATCAGAGCCATTATAAAAGTAGTGCTAGTGTAAGCCTGGCCAATTTGATTCTGTGGGCAACTTTTGCTTTCAATTTAAAAGAAAAAATAAACTAGATATTGTTTGCAGAGATCATTTCCTGGTTACTTCTGCTAGTATGAGAAGCATTCAAAATTAGGTCAGTTCTGAAGTTTCTGAAGTCATTATTGTTCTCACGACATTTACAATTTAAAGCAGATAATTCAGAGGGCAGTCAGCTGATAACAGGCATGTTGTTAGTTTTAAAAGTTGTAACAATATTTTTTTAAAAACCTACTGCACCTGGACTTACTAGTAAAACTCTTCTGGGATATTCTGCCTGGGGGACAGTTCCTTTGCTTTCCTGATTGTGCATGTTCATAATGCCCAAAAGTGCTAACACTGTAAAATTTTCTCTTTAATTAATTTAGAAAGTTACATTTTATGCAATGTTAAGCAGAGAATAGGAATCGTGAAGGTGAAAATTTTTATTATATGCTTTAATTTGGCCATATTAGAAATATTGTTATTATCCTGAGACTAAATAGATTATACAAATTCCTATTGTCATAAAAGCCCTAATACTTTGTAAAATTCCACCAGAGTTATAGTTAATTTCCATCAGGTTATAAGGCATAGCATATGTCTAAGAGTTATGAGAGCATTTCTTTGCCTTAAGGAATCCTTCCTAGATGTGCAATAGCATCCTCTAAAATGCAATTATGGAGAGATGACTTCAGTGACTTTGCAAGACTTCAAAAGAATAATGCATTGCAATTTGAGAATAATGTGATTATTGTTTTTATTTTTAAGAAAAGTTTCTCCTTGTTTCACAGTTTCACAATAGAATAATTCCTCTTGTCTTTTCCACTCCTAAGAAAACAAATTGAAATTCCATCTCAGATTAAAAGAGGTTAACTAGAAGGAAGGAAAGATAAGAAATGACTACATTGAAATGGATGGGTCAACCAAAGTGAAATGAGGCTGAGTAGAAGAGAATGAACAAAGGGAAAGACAGCTGAAGTAACTCCAAACCCTACCTTTTAAAATGCGAACTCTAGTTAACTTTTAAAATCTTTAAAATTTGAGGCTGGCTTCAAGAGACTAAACCAACCAAGGGCTGAACTTGTTTTGTGCCGTAGTGCAATTGCTCCTCTAGACTTTGAATAAGTCTGGTAGGATGTTCCACATTAACTAAATTTAAGCAATTTAAATTTTATTCATGGGTATCACATACTTTTCAGCATAATTTATATGCTTTAAATATTGCAGTTCCCAAACTGGCCAGGAGGTGTCTTGGAGAACTGCAGTACACTCACCAGGGTGCCTGGAAATGTCTTACATTTTTAAGGGAAACACAGTGATACTTGGCATATCTCAGGTGCCTGGATGTAGTTCACAGTTTTAAGACTACCTTTGGCTTGGTTCCTTTAGAAGACACTGTGTCTTTGCAAAGCTGGGCAGAATGAAAATCAGTGAGAAACAGGAAATGAGGGCAGCCATGTCCAATCTGATTCCAAGGCTTGGAAGTTCCCATTAGTAACTGATTTACTAAGAATGACACAAGTATATGTATATGAATGTATGTATGTTTGTATGAATGTATATTATATTTTAACTGACTGCTAAGTTTTTAAGACATAAATAGTTAAGGTTTTTGGACTTGACTACTTAAAAAATAGAATGGTCAGGTTTTTTGTTTGGTTTGGGTTGGTTTTTGTTTTGTCTTAATGGCACCAGGGGAAAAATTACTGAGACACTAGAGTACGAAGATCTGAGAAAGTTTGGAAGTTTCTGTTTGTATGAATGTATAAATATGTGTCAATGTCAGAAACAAATGATGCTTTGTGCAGTTGATTTTCTACGTGTAGCATAAATAATGCTGGGAAAGATATGATACTAGGAGAGTATATGTAAATATGTGACTCAGAGCTGAAACACCCTCAGGAAGCAATCCAGATATTTTCTGATTAAAAAGAAAAGTCCCTAAATATAAATAAGTTTCATAGGGAAGGAATGAGATATAGAATATAGAAAGCTGGACTTATTTTGTCCCCTTCTCTCCCCACTCCCCGCTCCCCTCCCCCAAGAAAAAAATCTCAGCTCTACTTAGATTCTACCTGTTATATTGTGAGGCTTCCTCAGGTCAAAGACACATTTCTTACAAATCCTTTGTATGTTTTTAGATACTAACCCCAAAGAACTAGTTTATTTATGTAAAGCAAAGTTATATATGTAAACACATATATTTTAGGATTCTTCAAATGCATAAAAAGTAAGCTCTTCTATCACTTTTATTTTCATAAATATAGTGCATTTATGAAATTATAGTACATCTTTGTAGCACATCAGAAAGTCAGCTAGATATTGTCAAAGTATTTGAGTTTTATATTAAATTGTTCCAGAATTTCTCTCTCATGGCTTATCCTAACTATGTATGCTGCTCCTTAATGTAATTTCTTTGGTACAGGAATAGCTGAATTGCCCACTTAAACTTATGCTTCAACCAATAGTCATAACTACTAAGAGGCTATGGCTACATTACCATGCTTGTTGATCTGACATAGACGTTGTTTTTCAGATGGCAATTTCCATCATTTGGCACCACTATGCCTGCCAATTTGCTATCAAGAGCAAGATGAGATGTCTGATCAGTCATCACCAGCAGCAATCTTTTAGCTTCTTTTCGCCATCCAATATGACTCTTAAAAGAAACATGTAATTAGACTTTGTACAATAAAATAGATTTGTACCATGGTCTTTCTCTCAAGTAAACAATAAACTCACATGCCAGACATCAAATCAGGCTGGAAGGATGTTCATAAATACAATGCTATCTCATAAATAGGATTAACTTTTATTGCATATTCTCTATTTTACTACAGCCACTGGCCACAATAGCTCTTGGCTACAGATTTCTGTGATCCCCCAGTGAAGACAAGCCAGGTATAAGAAGTCAGAACACCCAACATGATGTGCATAGGACAGCAGGTGCTTCCTGGTGTGAGTGAAAAGCGCAACCCTTTTGGAAAGGATTTTCCAAGTACATAAGTCAGTCTTTCCCTTTTATCTTTTCCTATTTATAACCAACTCCAAATTTAGCTCCTCACTCCTAAACATAGACCAAAATGAGTAACACTGTTGATGTGTAAGAGATATAGATATTCTTCTCTGCTATGTTTTCAGTCCATAAATCAAAAAGAAAATGAAAATCCTAAATTCTTGGGGAGTTTTGCATTTGTACAAACACTCAATGGTGTGAAACTTCTTACCTCACAGACAGCTGCCTGAAGCATAGCATCAAAACCTCCTTCAGGTGTATCGATATTTCCAGAGATCTTCTGCCTATGTACCGCTTTTTCAAACTCAGTGATGTTCTCCGTCAAAGATAGCACATGGATATATCCATGGGGAGGCATACAGTCTAAATTGTAGTCGCTGTGTGGGTAAAAAAGAAATGAAAATTCTATTTTGCTATGTTTCCTTCAAAGTTCCAAAATGTTACTCACAGTAAAATTGTGTGGTTGGTATGAGAAGGTAATAGTTGTTTGTTTGTTTGTTTTGCGATGGAAATTTTATTAGATAAAATCTGTACTTTATAAAGTCAACAGAATGTTCAATATTGGTCAATATTTCTTTGCAAGTAGGAAATAGGAATATAATAACTTGGTGTTAAAATATTGAATATTAAACATGTTTATTATATGATACTAGTGGCTCAGTGCACGAATTCATGAACATTAAAAGGAAATTAATTAGAATGAATATTTTAATATCACTATTCACCCTTTCTTTATAATAGAAATTGTCAACCAAATTCAGGATTGACACTGACAGATTGAAACACATACATGCGATTGTCACCAGCTAAAGCTTTATATATATATCGCACATGAGCGAGTCAATTTAGCCATATATATATATATATATATATATATATATATATATATATATATATATATATATATATATACCAGAGGCCTGGTGCACAAAATTTGTGCATGGGAAGAGGAGGGTCCCCTACCCCAGCATGTACCCTCTCCAATGTGGACCCCTTGGGGCTGTGTGCCTGTTTCAGAGCCCGGAAACCAGCAGTTGGGCATCCCTCTCACAATCCAGGACTGCTGGCTCCTAACTGCTCACCAGCCTTCCTGCCTGATTGCCCCTAACTGCCCTCCCTGCCAGCCTGATCACCCCTAACCACCTCTTCCTGTCAGCCTGATTGCTCCCAACTGCCTTCCACTGCCGACCGGTTGCCCCCAATTGCCCTCCCCTACCAGCCTGGTTGCTTTCAACTGTCCTTTCCTGCTGGCCTGGATGCCCCTAACTGCCTTCCCCTACAGGCCCAGTTGCCCCAACTGCCCTCTCCTGCAGGCCTGTTCCCCCCCAACTGCACTCCCCTGCCAGCCTATCACCCCTAACTGCCTTCCTCTGCTGGCCTGGTTGCCTATAAATGCCCTCCCCTGCCAGCCATTTTGTGGCAGCAATCTTGTGACCACATGGGGGCAGCCATCTTGTGTGAGGGAATGACAGTCAATTTGGATATTACCTCTTTATTATATAGGATAGAATAAACTTGCTTAATTAGACCTGATTTCTGATGTAGCTAAACTTTTTCAAGGCCAGTGAAGCACCCCAACTTTTCTTTCAGGTACTTGTAAACAACACAACAGTAAATATCAACACAAAGCAGATTATTATTGTAGATTATGCAGGGAGAACAAAGGGTAAAATACTTAACTGCAACAGTGTTTGACTATATCCTGCACAGTGAGAAAACCTGAAGTCATTTTCAAAGTCCACCATGTCTTACTTCTTTTCAGTTGGGCCGAGTTTCTAAGCTTTCTAAATCTCTGTTTTCTGGCTAATGAAAAGAAAATAGGATTCTACAAAGCCTCCTATCTATCTACTCTAGGGCTTCTATTAGGATCAAATGAGATGAAGCACAAAAAATGCTTCACAGACATTTGATTGAAGTGTGAAATGTTTCCACCTGGCTATAAAGCAAGTAATGTTCCTGGGCTGAAGAAACTCCAAGTGGGCTAGCTAGCCACTAGGCTAAGTCACTAGGGAAGCCAGGCATTACTACATGACATCATTACCTGGCACTCACCGTGCCAAGTTTGCAAGCTGGGCTGGGCTATAGGCTGCATTTTGCGCTGTGGGTGTCTCAGCAGCATCAGCTGTGATTTGGTGGGGTGTCACTCCAGTGTGGTAGTGGGGTCTGTGTTCCCCTTGGGGGAAGCTGAGTGTTGTGTTGTGGGTGCCAGGTCTGCAGTGCCATTTCTCTGTAAATGGCCAGTGTGCTTCACATCAGCTCCTGTATTGAGAATCTGCCCCCTGGTGGTCAGTGAACATCATAGCAACTAGTCAGATGGTTGGACATTAGTATATTAGTCTTTTATATATTTAGACTAGAGGCTCAGTGCATGAAAATTCACACACGGGGGCAGGGGAGGGTCCCTGAGCCTGGCCTGCCCTCTCTTACAGTCCAGGAGCTCTCAAGGGCAGGAGGTGACCTGGCAACCAGGGGAAGGTAATGTCCCAACACACCTCTGCTGCTCCACTGCCAGCAGTGCAAGCCTTGGTTGGCCCTGGTTACCTGAGTCTTGGGCAGTTCTGGGCAGCTGGGCAGCTGCCATCTGCGGCTTGCTTGTGCCTTGAGCCAGCCCTGGTGGCTGGGGGCTGAGAGGACTGGGGGACTCCAGAGGCAGGCACACGGGGCGGGCCTGGCCTTGCCACATGCTTGCTTCCCCGGGTGGGGCTGAGGAGACTGAGCACCGCCATCTTGTGGCTGTGGGTGCCACTATCTTTGAAGGCGTGGCAGTCAATTAGCATATTCCCTCCTTATTGGCTGTGGGTGCTGCCAATCTTTGCGACAGCATTGAGGGCCAATTAGCATATTTCCTCTTTATTAGCTAGGATAGGACACTTAAGGAACTTTATTATGTTAATATACGGTATTAATTTTGAAGAGGAGATAAAAATTTGTAGTGATTTCCTATCACATTTGACCATGAAACAACTGGAAAACATTTTTTGGGAAATGTTTTTTAGGATTTCAGTGAAAATACCGTACTATTATTAAATTATTTAAAAATACTGTGCTATTTGTTAAATTGATGCTTGGTGTGAAATTATTGATTAACATTCAAAGTTTATTAAAATTGATTTGAGCCCTAGCAGGTTTGGCTCAGTGGATAGGGCATCAGCCTGTGGACTGAAGGATCCCAGGTTTGATTCTGGTCAAGGGCACATGCCTGGGCAGCGGGCTCAATCCCCAGAAGGGGATGCGCAAGAGGCAGCCAATCAATGATTCCCTCTCATTATTGATGTTTCTATCTCTCTCTCTCCCTCTCTTTTCCTCTCTAAAATTAATAAAAGCATTTAAAAAAATTGTTTTGAAAACTCCATGGTGTTCCAAAAAGTGGGTGTCATTCCTCAGGTGCATCCCTGCGGGGAGAAGTCTCAGGAACCCCACTGCAGTGTTTCAGTCCAGGTTGCACTATGGCAGCAATGTTTGGTAATAAGTGTGTGTACTTACTATAGAGTGGCCTGGGCTATTTATGGAAGTAGGAAATAAGATGTTAAAATGAAATGTTTTATTAAGGAGGCACTAAACATTTATATTTCTCTCTGAAAACTCAACAGGATAATTAGACTACTGTGAAAATTTGTATTCTTAAGGTCGGTTTTGTTTTATAGTGGGGCATATGCTATTTAGAATTGCACTTTCAAAAGAAAAAGGGCTCTTTCTAGAATGCAAGTTCTCATTTTATGACCTACCTTCCATGTATTAGCTGAGTTTGCTTAGTAGTCACATCATAAGTAACAACGTAACCCGCAGTTACAATACAGTAAGGGGAAATAGATGCAGTATTGGCAACATAAGTAGTATAAATTAAACAAACCTTAATTCAACAAATTTGAAGCAATCAAAAGGGAGAAATACAGAATGTTCAAAGAGGTATTTATATACATGGAAGCTTGATTATTGGAGGTTTGTCCAAAATTACTCATTTATGTTTTATGTGTGACAAAAAGTGAATGATATTTGAAAAAAATAAAAAGAACAAGCAACAGATAATCTCAGAAGTTTTCAAATAGGAATATACTCCCCTCTAAATATTTTCACTTCTCATTTAATAAAACAAAAATATAAACTTTAGTAATTTCTTTATAAAAAAAAACCCTGAGATTTAATACGAAGAAAATTTCATTTAGCATTATGATATCCGCCTCAAACACTAGATACCTGCATTGATTGTGAATCCTTTCTGGGTGGATGCTAATGTATGGTGAAACTGTTTTATCAACATATGAACCAAATCCAATGCGGAAGTCATGGGAGAAAAATGCCATTTTTCTAGATAAATCATTTCCAATGGAATTTAATTTTTCAATATTATTGTGCATTGATGCCGAAACATCAACCAGATAATAAAGATCCACAGGATATTTCTTCAGAGGATGAATTTTCAGCATAAAATTAGCTTCAGCTCCTAGTTCAAAGAAAGACAAATATCATGTATTTATTTTACATATCTCAGGATAAACTGTCAATAAATATCATTTTAGATATAGAACAATAATAACAGATTTTTGCATAATTTATGAAATAAGGAATATTCTGGAGTAATTTTAAGGCAATTTGAAAACCACACAAATGTGTGAATTTCCAACTTTTACAATGCATTTCTCACAATTTTATAGGGCAGATAGAGATTATCATCAAATGGACCAGCTTAATATAAATGCAGTAGGAAATATATTTATTATCATCTGAACCTGTAGTTCTAGTATCTAGAAAAGCACAGCACAAGACAGCAAGCAGCATTCCATCTCGAGAGAGAGTAGGTGGCTATGGTTCATGTATAGGTTGCTTTCAGGTATAAATTCACTCTTTCGGATTAAGGCGTATTTATATATGAGATGTGAAACTTACTGAGAAGTATATTAAGCAATTCAAAAACAATTAGTACATCATCAAATTACTTGATATGATTCTTCTCAGCAGTTAGTTGTGAGAAGGAATGAGGAAGTGGTCTAAAGAACAGTAGCCAGCAGTGCCACAGTGAGGACCAGGCTGGGCTCTCTCTCAATAAACATGTTGCGGAGGGATCATGGAGGCAGGGAGTTGGGTGAGAAGAGGGTGGCCACAAGGAGAGCCGTGGGAACCTCCCAGGGACAGCCCTGCAGAGTTAGTGACTGTATTCTTTTCTAAGTAGATGGTGAAAACTTGCCAATTTAAATACTTGATGAATTTTACTTTTTAAAATAATAAAGTAAATGCTTTGTAAGTAATTATTTGTCTATGGAGAATATTTGGAATGGAAATATTTTTTAAAAACACCAATTTGTATGCATAATTGGTAGTCTGATGTACCGATTATAAGGGATCCTTTAATCTAGCTTCTCATACTGATATTTGCAGTTTTAATGTGCTTAAAAGTAGCAATATTTTCTCTTAAATTATTTCACAAACCAGAAGTTTTCCAGCCAGACTGAGGAATGCATTCAAAGTAATGAGTTATTGTTTTTCTGGTACCTAATAATTATGGGAGAATTCTATTCACTCATTGCTAATATACCAATATGTGGATGAAATCCCTTTATTGTAGCTGCTAATTTTTTGGCCCAAGAGTTTGGGGGAGAAATTTGGCATGTGTCGTCTAGCCCAGCCAACTCTCTCAGTCCTTCCATTTAGGAGCTGGGCTCAGCTTTTGGGTACCTGGTGAAAAAGCCTGACCATGTATAGGTAGGTATCTGCAATCTGGGTAGAGCATTTCAATTTAGGAGAATGATAGAATTTGGCTGACGCAGCTGGATCGGTAAAAAACAGAAATGGAGTAGAACAGGGGAATATGGTTCATGAGGAGGAGTTTGAACTTTAATGTATGGGTCAGTATTGAAACATTTTTATTTTTATATTTTTTACAAATTGCATAGTTGCTTTTTAATCATTGAGTTGGAGATACGGCTGAAGGCCTTAGGCACTGGCCACATGTTATTTTCATCTTGGTGAATCATTGCAATTTATGGTGGCTCTGTCTAAAGATGAATGGCTATCTGTTTTTTTATAGTCATTGCAAAATAAAACAGTTAAGTGTATTGTTGGTTATCTCAGTCAACAGGCAGAGTCTGTGAAGCATCAGCAAAACACAGTCCTTGGAGGCCTATTCATGGAGCTCGAAGCAAATGCTAGTCACATAAGGGCCCAGCAAGCCAATCTTGATCTCCCTAGATGTTAGTAATTATATGATTACTATTACTAGAGCAGCATTAGGGTAAGAACTGTCTATCCATCTCTGAAGCTTCTAGGTTTTGTACCTGAATAACAATTTATAAATATTTTCTAATTGGACAATATTTGAAGCACATTTTTATAGAGCCTTTTAAAAGGCTCACATATTTATTACAGTAAGAAGCTAATATCTATGATTCCTTTCCCACAGTTTAGGGGGGGTTTCTTTGTTTCTCTCTTTAAGAAGAAAAAGGATCCTCTGGCCCCAAAATGTTTATGCTACTACCAAGTATATTATTATCTCCAGGAAAGCTTCATTCTCATATCTTTTGAGATTCTAAAGGCTCATATCCTTTAATGGAATGAGAAAGAGGACTTGGAGGAAAGTTGAGACCTACTTAGAGCTATTGCCAATATTGGTTTGAATAGCCCAAAGAATTAATTAAAAGTTCTTAGCTTGATTTTGAATCACTCAAATAATGGAGTGAGCATCTTTGAAGTACTGGCTACAACAAATATTACTGGGCATTAAGAAAATATAATTTTAAAATGTTCTTCATAAGGTGAAATTGAAAAGCCATAACAGAATGTACAAAAGTGTAGCTGGAAGAAAGAGCAGCCAATTTCTATTAATTATACGTGGGCAGGGGAAGGAGAAGGCCCAAGTATGAGACTGGTTGAAAGTAGGAAAGCACAGACACCAGCACAATTCTGAATTTTTGTGGTGGGTAAAATGGGGTATATGTGCAGGTGTGGGGGGGAAATGCATAATTTCTGCACTTTTATTTTTTTTTAATTATTGAATTTAGGAAGAATACCTGAGAAATCTTACATTTAAATTAAGCTACACTAAATAAAGAACTTTTTTCTTTACAATATTAAAATGAATCAAGATTGAAATATTTTTTTTAATGAGTGAAGTATAGATCATACTAATACTTATCATACACACTAGAGGCCCAGTGCACGAAATTCATGCACTTGGGGTGTGTGGGAGGGTCCCTCAGCCTGGTGTGCACCCTTCGCTGCCCGGGATCCCATGAGGGATGTCCGACTGCCGGCTTAGACTCACTCCTCATAGGACATTTTTAGTGCTGTCATGGAGGTGGGAGAGGCTCCTGCCACCACCACTGCGCTCGCCAGCTGTGAGCCTGGCTTCTGGCTGAGTGCTGCTCCCCCTGTGGGTGTGCACTAACCATCAAGTGGCAGCTACTGCATTGAACATCTTCCCGCTGGTGGTCAGTGCATGTCATAGCAACTGGTTTGCCCTTTGGTCGATTTGTATATTAGCCTTTTATTATATAGGGCTATATTACACTAAAGCAGACTTAGACACTTCTCTTCTTTTTCCTATCTTCCTAAGTATTTCATTTCAGTGTTCTTAAGGAATATCAACTAGGACCTAATTCTATTATTACTTTTCCAAAAGATTGATAGGCAAAAATAAGAAAAAAAGTATAGTTTAAGAAGTGAAAAGTAAAATAAAATGTCATTTTAAAAACTCATTTTAGATATTCATTACATGTTATACATATTTTATATAGTCCTAACTTTATTTTAAACATTTAGTCAGTATGTGATGTTACAGAAATATTTATAAAAATTTTTAAAAATTCTTAATAGACGTTATATTGAAAGTCATGAATTTTTATCAGTAAAATAAAGTGATTATCTATAACCAAACCAAATGAATCAAAACAATATTAGGGGATACACTTAGGTTTGCATTGTATCAAACACCCAAATTTTTTTTTTTTTTTTTTATAAATTAATTCTCACCCACGGATATTTTCCATTGATTTTTAGAGAGAGTGGAAGGGAGTGGGAGAGACAAAGAGAAAAGCATCGATGTTGACAGAGACACATCAATTGGTTGCCTCCCACTCGTGCCCAAACCAGAGCCAGGTGGGTCGATCCTGCAACAGAGGTATATGCCCTTGACCAGAATTGAACCTGCAACCCTTCACAGGCTGATGCTCTATCCACTGAGCCAAACCAGTTAGGGCAAACTCTCAACGCTTATCATGTATCATGGCGGAATGGACTTAGACATTATGAGGAGTGATGTTTCTAAATATTTGGAACAATATAGCTTTATATATTATGCCCCAAAGCTGGCATGACTTTGATGTCACAATGCATTATTTAGATGAATTTAATAAACCTAATTTAATGACTCTTTGCTATATATGCAGATGATAAAATACTAAAGGCCTGACACACGAAATTTGTGTAAGTGTAGGCCTTCCTTCCCCCGGCTGCTGGCAATGGCTTCCCTCTGGCATCTGGGACCTGGGCTTCCCTCTGGCTGCCAGAAGGCATCCAGGCCCTGAGCTTCCCTTGCAGCCCTGGCTTCGTCCAAAAGGTCATCCAGAAGGACATCCAATCTAATTAGCATATTAGCTTTTATTGTTATAAATAGTTATGTCATCTTTCCAAATAGTTGGAAAGATGATTTACACACATTAGACAGTTATATTAATTTGCAAACATAAATTCAAATAGAGGGAAATTGAATAAAATCAAGCCCATAATAATTGACATAAACATCAAAACATTTCTCTTTTTGCTCTTCTACTACCCATGATCTTATACATACTGCATTCACTTAACATCTCAGGCTGACATCTCCCATGTCTCTATCTCCAGTCTGTATCTCTCTCCTGAACTTCAGCCTCATATGTATAAGTCACTACCTCAACCCAAATAGTCCCATTTTGAACTCATTACCACCCCCTCTACAGAGGGCAATCCTCCCCTTCTCACCTAGATGCTTGAGCCAGAGCCCATGTGTGCCCACGCTCATGATTAATCACAAACCTCTGAGGATGCTACCTCCCCATTATCTCCCAGTCTGTTGATCTTTCTCCTGCCTGAATACCATTATGCCATTATTATCATAATCATTACTATCATTGTGGAAACAGCACTGAAACAATTTTTCAACTTTTGAACTATTAATTTATAGCCTTGGGAGGATTCAATTACCATTATATCTACAAAAGGGACCAAGCTAAAGTTATCGATGTGTATAAATTTAAATGTAACAAACCAGTAGAAAAAAAAAATGCACCTTGTAATTGCAAATCTTCAAATATTTTTTAAAAAGATAGTTTTAAAGGTCATAATCATATTAATTAGAGGAAAATTATATATACACTTATGTGTTCTTTTATATTTTCATTAGGTTTTTTTAGGGTTTCTGTGTCTCTTAAGTCAATTTTTAATCACATTTTCTACAAAATTATATAATCAAGATTTTTACCATGGATTTTTGTGTTTAATATTTTCTTAAAGTATTTTTCCCATTATTTGTTTCTCTGATTATAGTCTATATAATTAGGTTATTTGCTTTTTTGTTCTTTTTAATTAGATTTGCCAACAATTTATCTATTTGATTAGTTTTTATAAAGAATTTGCTCTTGGATTTATACATTCATTTTCCTTTTTTATTTCTATTTTATATTTCATTAACTTTGTTTTATTCTTAACTTATGAATTCTTTCATCTTTTTTTCCTTATGATGATTTTATTTTTGTTGTTCCTATACCTTTACTTGTATACTTAGTTATTTTTTTTCATTCTTCTTTAATAATAAAAGCATTTAAAATTTTGACTTTTCCTGAGAATAGTTTCAGTCACATATCATATATCTTGATGGATTTTGATGTTATTATTATTATAAAATAGTCTATGACTACAATTGTTATTTATATTTGAAGATAAAAATTATTCAGAAGTTTTTATTAGGTAATCTGTTATTTAATATTTGTTCATCCTCTTGATTTCAAATTTTATTGTACAATACTCAGAGATATTGGCCTGTAAAAACAATTTCACTTTTTGGAAATCAGTTTTCTTGTCTAAAATTTGATTTACTTCTGAAATTATTTCACCTTTGAAAATATTATTTTATTTATCAAGTGCTATGCACTAAATTGTGCCCCTCCCCATTTATATGTTGAAGTCCTAAATCACAATAACCTGGTATTTGGAGATGGGCCTTTTGGAGATAATAGGTTTAGATCAGGTCATGAGGGTGGGGCTCTTGTGATGGGGTAGTGTCCTTTTAAGAAGTAACACAATGAAGCTCTTTCACTCTGTCTTTACCTCTCTGTTACTCTCTCTTCCTCTTCAGGAACTGAACCAGGTAGCACATTAATCTTGGATTTCCTAGTCTTTAGAACTATGAGAAAATAAATTTTCGTTGTCTAACCCACTTTGTATATGGCAGCAACAGAAGGTGGCAAGCATCACAGTCTTACTTTCATTTTTTTTGTGTATCCTTTTCCAACTGTTGCTCATAATATCCATACTTTGTGCTGTATAATTGTTTTATAGGGTGACGAGCACAGTTTTAATTGGAAGCTTGGAATATGCTATGGCCAAAAAAGAAATGGACTTTTTTTCTCTGGTAATCCAAGAGTGTGGAAGAAATAGTTCAGCTTTGGAATAGGGAGCTTTCGTGTCAGTATGGTTATTTAAAAATTTAATGACAGGAAAAGACTACCCAGAACAAAATAAAATGAAGGTTAGCATATTAGTTAATACTAAACATATTTAATTGAGTGATGCACACCTGTGTATCTGAATTTATCTTGCCATATGAGGTTGTATACTGGGATTCTCTAGCACTGGCAGAAAAGGAATAATTTTAGTGGCCTATTACATATGCCAACTGTGGAATACAATGTGATGGAAGGGCAAGTACAGAAGAAATATAGAAGGTAGAGTGTGTACTAGTTTCAGGGGCCATCACAAAGCTGCTCAAGTTAACTATGACAATTATGAATTGTAGTTTTGTGTCTAAAAGTTTATCACAAAGGCTCTAAGGATTTAGCTTAATTCATATCTCATACTAATTAATTATTCAACCAATAAATTCAACAAATACTTATAAAATGCTTACTATAAGCCAGCATCGGAGGAACAGAGTGGAATAAAGTATGTTCTCTTTCTTCCAGGGCTGGCAGTAGAGCAAGAACACAATTACACTACAGCATGATCAAGTCTGGAAACACATAATTATAATATAGTGCCGTCAAGTTTGCTGGAGTGTCCGAGGCCACATAGCTAGCTAGGTATAGGCACAATAAAGGCTAGAATTATGATTTCCTGATTCTGAGCCTACTGTTATTTTCACTACAACAATACTGCCTGCCACACATTATTAAATATGAGCAAGTAAAACTAAGTATAATTTCAAATTAAGAATCATCATAGATTTATTTGAAAAATCATCAAACCTGGTCGCAGCTGGACCAATACTTCTCCTGGTGTCACCTGGGTATTAATTTCATTTTCAGTTGGTTTTACATTCACAGATGGGTATTCTATTGAATCAATCAAACATCCTTTGCTTATTAAATTGGCAACAGTATCACAACGTCCACTCCTTGATCCACCTGAAATGAAATCCTGTTTAAAAGAAGGAAAATCACTGACATTTTTAGTGCATATCATCTCAATTAAAACCAAAGAAAACCGCATAACAACTTTTGCAAAGAAGCCATCTTCTAATATTGCACCACTTATGCAACTATTCAAAAGAGCCGCATGTTTCCAATAAGAGTATTGGCAAATTTGTTTTAAGTAAAGCTTTAATTTCTAAATCTTATTTAAAAAGAAAATAAATATTAATGAGGAGATTTAAACCAAGTACTTTTGTTAATTGATCACTTTAAAATTATACCAACTTAATATTTTACTTTGGAGAGACTGCTCCAGAAGAAAATTTATCCAAAATAGACCATTCAGTGGTTCCAAATTTAAGCCTCAGTTCTTAAATAACTCAACTGGTATGTTTATTACATATTGTTATGTTTGGAATACGAGAGCAAGTCCTCAGAAGTCACATGCTTAATTAAGTACAGAAAATTCATAAGAGAATGAATTGGAAATCTACGTTCCTTAGCCTATGAAATCTGCCAACTTCTTATACCCACAACAGTAATTCAATAATCAAGTACGATCAGTTCTCATAATGAGGTAGGGAAATAAAATGGCAGCTCAAATTCTCCTTATTTTGCAACTGAATCTAAAATGTTCATTATCATTCAGCATTGGCTTGTTGATGTTTATCCAAGAGCTTGGAATTAATGGTGCAACCTTGAAATTTAGTTTATCTTAACTGTGAAGAAAATGATATTTTTATTCTTCATGTAATCATCCAGGTTTTTTCCTAAGAACAAGATATGTATTAAAAAGTATAAAAATATGTTTTATTATATATAATGTTGGCCTGAATTATATGTGATATTTGCTTACACATTAATTAGATATTTACTTGCTCAGTGATCTTCTTGGCTATTTCTTTTCCTTTTAAAAAATATATTTTTATTGATTTCAGAGAGGAAAGGAGAATGAGAGAGATAGAAACATCAATAATGAGAGACTCATTGATAGGCTGCCTCCTTGCATGCCCCACAACTGGGGTTCAAGTCTCAACCCAAGCAGCATGTGCCCTTGACCAGAACTGAAACAGGGACCCTTCAGTCTTCAGGCCGACATTCTGTCCATTGAAGCAAGCTGGCTAGTGCCTTCTTGGCTATTTCCGTCTGGCATTCAGTCATTCCTCCTTTAGTTCAGCTGATTCAGAGAACTGGATTAACAATCAACTAATCATCATTCAATCAAAGACAGAAGTATTTTAGGTGTAGAGGATACAGAATAGAACAAGATAGACATAGTTCCTATCATCAAAGAGTCAATGAACCATCAGTGAATTCAGCAATGAAGCAAGGAAATGTAATAATCATGGCTATTAAACTTAGGGGAAGCACAGATTGTCCTAGAGTTATGGAGATTATTAAGTTTAATATTAGTTGATTATGAGATCACTCACTAATTATGAACAGGGACATCCCTGGCAGTGGAAAGTAATTAGATGGGATGGTGGTAGGCAATATAAAAACATTCATATAAAGATTTTAATTTAATTCCCATCTCAATTTAGAACAAGGATTGGAGAACTAGGAACAATGGGACAAATAAAACCCATGTTTTTTCCCCTATGGCTTTAATGTTAAAAATGTTTTTTTAAAAAAAAAATAATTTTAAAATGCTATAGTACAATAAAAAGAACATGAAACAGAAAAAGTATGTTTACTATGTGACCCTTTACAGTACTGAACACACTTGTAATATAAATATAGTGAAAAGACAATAGAGAATAATATTTCCTTTTCAATCAAGTTTTTTCAGATATCATTTGGTAAATGACTTCATGGAAACTTCAGGAAAAATGTAATTTGTTTTTCTATTGACCATACACCTAGAGTTTAAATATTCAAAGCCTTAATTTTATGTATTCAGATTTATCCTATCTACTGATAAAACTTAGAGGTACTAAGAATGTGAGATTTGGTTTATAAACAACTTAGAGTTTCTCAGAGAAAGGTGGCATATACTCTTATTTTATGTGTAACTTTTCATCAGAAAGCCTCAGGCTAGGTGGGGGTGGGGAATCCCACCTGTGCCAAAGCCTGGTGAATATGTGCTCATTCATGGCTCACATGAAAGGACACAGACCAAGGGCCACATGTGTTTTACAGATGTAAAAACCCCAAGCCTTTAAATCAGGAAAGGGATAAAGTACATATAACTGACTTTTTTTTTTTTTTTTTTTTCCCAGTCAGGGGTTTTGTTGTTTGCATATATAGAACTGAAAAGTAGTGAATGTGATTGATTCACTGCAAGTATAGATCATGCTCTGCCATTTGACCTTTAAAGTTTGCTGATAAAGGCCAAATAGTCTCAATTTTCTGCAATGTCTAAATCAGCCTGGTTGTTTTTACTCCAATGTAAAAACAATGTTGAACACTTGAAACGAATATAACATATGCCAGCTATCTTTAAAATTTTTTTTAAAAGGATGTGAAAAGGAGATGGGCTTTTGTTTGCATTTTTAAATAGCATGGTCAGATGACATTTGAACAAAACTGAAGGATCAGAGAGTGAGCTACAAGGATTTCTGGAGGAAAATACAGGAAGAGGAATCATAGTGTGTAAATGCCCAGGCAGAAAGAACTATGTCTGGCTTAGGCAAGGCCAATGCAGAGGCCAGAAATAATAATAGGAATAAAGTAGCTAACTTCTATTGAAAAAAAAAAAAAAGCAACACACATAATTAAGTCATAAAAACATTGCCAATTTGACAATTAGGGTTGAAAAAGAAGAACAGACCATGGCATCAAAATAAAGAATGGAATGCTGCCCCTATTCACTGTGGCCTACTTTCCACTTTGTATAAAAGAAAAGAATTTGAAGCCACACCCATTTAATTTTTGGTGTTTTGTGGCATTTTAATTTCTTCTAATTCTTATGTTTTACTTTTTCTACAAGAAGCACTCAAGCAAACTTAGACTTCAACTGTCTACATCTAAAACCTATTTGGTGATGTTTTGTTTAGTTATAAACTTAAACCCTGCATGGTTTTTTTAACTGATGCTACCCAATTAACTTGACAACAATGAAACTAGAATAAAATGTTGAGTTTTTAAATTTGGCATCAAATTCTATAGTATAAATTTAATTATTTTGAGGTTATTAATTGAATTGATATTACAGTCATGGAAATTTTATGTCATATAAAAATTTCCTCTAAAGTGTTTCTTTGTATTTATTATATAACGAGTGTATTCTTTTTCTTTCTAAAATACATTACTTTATCTTTTCAATAAGTAAATAATAAAACCTATTTGTAATGAAAAGGCCATGTTGAAGTTACCCTGGCTGGCTTTTCTTCAGTTATTACTTTCACCCATTTAATGGAATAAACTGGGGAGATACATAAGAAAAGTGTTTTATCCTCCTCATTTCTGAGTCCTGAGTTTCATATTTGGCAGTCTGCACAGAAACAAAAGAATTCTATCATCTTCTTTATGACAGTGAATGCCCTTGGTATCATATTTTAATATAATTATGCTCCAGGGTGCCCTCTAAACTCTGGCTATGAAATCACAACCTGTATCTGACATATCAGGCAGGAGAGGAAGAGACTAGTCAAGTCCTTCACATATGTTAAAAATGAACATAGGCAAACTAGGTAATACTGATAAGATTCTATTTATCTTCAATATTTTTCAATTGCTTTTCTGTAGCATGGAGAGAGAGAGAAGGTAAATTATATATATAATTTAATGTATACATACGCACACACATACACACACACACACACAGATTTACATGCTATACAAGAATGTAGGCAAATTGAGTATATTTTCTAGGAATCTTTTATTTTTTATTATTTAAAAGAAAGAGATGGATGGGGGAGGGGAAGAAAATAGAGAACAAAGAGAGAGAGAACACAGAGAGGTTTTTTCTTGTTTTTGCTTTCCTTTATTGATTGCTTTGTTATTTATAGTACAATTGTCATTCTTAGTACTAGTTAATATATATGTACTATATGTTCATAGGTTTAATTTTATTCAGGTCATAAAAAACAGCTAAAGTGGTTATAACAAAATAATCATTAATTTAGCGTCAGGACATGAATATTGAAGAAAAATAGGTACAAGTTAAGTTTCTTTAAACTTTTTAAATTTTACTTTTCAATTAGAGTTACCATTCAATGTTATGATCAGTTTTAGGTATATAATATACTGGTTAGACATTTATAATAACTTGTGAAGTGATCATCCTAATAAGTCTGATATCATACATAGTTAGTACAATATTAGTAACTATATTCTAAGCTGTACTTTATATCCATAACTGTTTTGTAACTGCCAATTTGTACTTCTTATTCTCTTCACCTTTTTCACCGGGAGCCATCAGTTTATTTCTGTATCTATGAGTTTGTTTCTGCTTTGTTTGTTTATTCTGTTTTTTAGGTTCCAAATATAAGTGAATTCATATGGTATTTGTCCTTCACTGTGACTCATTTCACACAAGACAACACCCTCTAGGTCCATCCATGTTGTCCCAAGTGGTAAGATTTCATCCTTTTTATGGCTGAGTAATATCCAATTGTATATACAGGGTGTCCCAAAAATGTACACACACTTTGAATAATTATAAAAGCAGTGTTTATTAAAATGCATTTCATTTTCAAAATATAATCGAGTCAGCTGTTAAAGTATATATACATTTTTTTGGACATCCTGTATGTACCAATTCTTTTTTATCCATTTGTCTTTTGATTGGCCAATTTAATCCATTTACATTTAAGGTAATTATTGATAGGTATGTACTTATTGCCATTTTATTAACAGTTTTCTGATTGTTTTTGAAGTTCTCTTATTTTCTTAGTTTTTGCTCCTTTCCCTTGTATATTGATGACTTTTTGCAGTGTTGTGTTTGGATTGCTTTCTCTTTATTTCTTATATATCTCTTGTAGATTTCTGATGTGGTTTCAATGTGCTTCATATATGATTATAGCAGTCTATTTTAAGTTAACAGTCACTTAAGTTCAAACACATTCTAAAATCACTACCATTTTTTCCTCACCCTCTCCATGTTTATGTTTTTTTTCTTCCAATCTATTCTACCTTCTTTTGTGTGTTTGTGGTTATCCCTTAATTTACTGTTGTAATTACATATGATCTTCCTACTTTTGCCTTTTAACCTTTGTACTGGCTTAGTCTTGGTTGAACTGCTGCTTTTATTATGTGTTTGCCTTTGTCAGTGAGAATTTTCTTTGCAATATTTTCTTATTCATATTTTTTGTTCTTTATTTTGAAGAAACTCCTTTATCATTTCTTGTTATATATTTATTACTTTGATGGTAATGAGTTTCTTCAGCATTTCTTTTTCTTTGACCAGCTTTAAAAATCTTATAAGCCAGGCTTATGAACAGATAAAACTACATTTTCCTTCTCTGTCCCTATACCCTTGCTGATTGAAGAATAATAGACATCAGTTGCATGTTACCCAAGCAGTGGGTGATCTTTCAAAACTAACCACTGCATTCTTTCTCTTGATGATGTCAAGTCAGCCTGTAGGAGTGGACAGCTCCTTCTGTTAATGATGTGGCTAGTGGCCAAGTCCTAACACTGATTGTTTCACCGAGAGTTGTATTCTTAACCAGGCAATAATGATTTTCCTAAGCCTGAATGAATTGCTCCAGAGTTTCATCAAAGTTCTTATAATAACACCTCCTATTTCTTAAGCAATGTCTGTTTGCCAAATGCTTCCCACACACTGTTTCACTTAATCTTTACAACTGTGTGTCATAAGGGCAGTTAATATTTCCATTTTAGAGCTAGGGAAAACTGAGGTTCAGAGGACATGTTAATATGGTTACTATGGTTAGAAATGAATGGAACTAAGATTGGAATCCAAGGTGATCTAATTTCAGAGCCTGCTTTTTCAACTTCTAAATTAGACTATCCTTCAGTACATAGAATATTTTGAGACATAAACAGCCAAATCATTTCTGAATATTTTCTGAGACCCCTTTATGGGGATTTGATCAAGAGCGTACACAGGTTTTGTCTTCTCTGCCCTGGCAGCCATCTACCTCTTCCCTTGGCTTACCTCCTTCCATTTGCCTAGCCATTCCTCTGAATATTCCTCTGAAATCCTTCCTCCCCTGGCAGGACTGACATAGCACCTCCTGTAACTGTGACTCTCATATTTTTCATGCCAGCAGCGGTGTGAGATGCAGAGGGGGTCCTATGTGGAACCAGACCTTCTCTATGGCTGGCATGGTGCTTTTAGCTGATAAATGGGTTTCCAAACCATCTTTTGAAATATCTTCTAAACTACACACTCTAAAGTTCTCAGCAACTGATGTCAAGTTGGCCCAAACTCCATGACTAGGGATTTTCCTTAATGATACAGTAAAAATCTAAAATGGAGTACTGGGTAGGGTCAAGCTATGACCCATTCTTGACAGAGAAACTCTAGTTTTGAGTGACATCTGATTTTTTCAATGGTAAAACCTAGGCTGCTACATTCAGAAGCCTTGAGGATGTCAGTAGAAGGGGCACTTACTTTCAGACATGGCTACTGTTCCATGAACCCCTCCCCTACCACTTTCTTGCCTTGCTTCATGGAATAAAGTAACATCCACTATCTTTGCTACTTTCCACCTTTCTTTTTTCCTCCTTGGGGCTGCATAAGAGCAAGCAGTAGTAGGAGAGGTTGGAAAGACGATGGTAGGTGCAGTTTTTAAGCTAAATCAGAGGAAGTAAAACTAGAGATTTATCTTCAGCGCAAGCAAAGGCCATTAAAGTTCTATGTATTCTAATTCCCAGGGGCTACATAAATAAATACAAAATTACCTACGCAGTCTCATAAATGAAACCCCAAATTAGCAGATGGCTTCTTCATTACAACTTATATAATAGGTGGTTCTAACTAGAGATTACCAACACCAACACCCACACAACTACTTTAGAGAAAGGATGCATTATAATTATTTTACTAAGATGATATTGGGATATGTTTCTTTTGTTAGAATATAAAATACAAATTTTTAACAATAAACATTTCTTAATTATTTTCTATACCACAGAATTTAAATGTACACACTATCACATGTCAAAAGAAAAGCACTCCATTTACCATAAGTAACTAACGAATTGATACACAATATTATGATAGAGTAAGTCACTTATCTCCAAGTATTTAAAAAAAAAACAGACCAATAAATTAGTTTGCTTTTTGCTAATAAGCAAGTATAAGACAACGACCCAACTTGGATATATAACCGAATGCCCCAAGCTGCAGCAAGAATTTCACACAAAGCCTTCTTGACCTAAGCAAAAGTTACTAGTATCTGCGTTTGCCAATTTTCTCTATAGAACAGATGGAAAACATAAAATGGTTTGCACTTCATTTCAAAATTACCATAATTTTCCTAATAAAAAGGTTATACTTTATATTCAGCCAGATATGCTGTTTCCAGGCATAAAACCAAATAAAATTTTCCTGATGCTCATCAGTATCATTTTCCTGATGCACCTTCAAGGTACAGAGTTTCAGGGCAATGAGATTATGCTAGAGAGAAGGGCAACTGTGAGAAAAACAGAAAAGAGAAAAAGAAAAAAAAGAATAAAAAAAGAAAAAAATTAGACACACCTCTTGAGCACACCATCCACATTCTGGATCCAGCGCAAGGCACTTGGTGCAGGATGCTGCATTCGAAGATGCACATCTGCTGTTTTCTGAAATGGAAGACAAAATGAGGGGTTATGGCTTATTCTCCTATTGGGAAGTATACACAGTTCTAGACCAAAATGCTTTTTGAAAACTGAAATAAGATGACAATAGTTTTAAGTACATGACATTAAAAAATACACAACTTCTTTTGGGAGGAGTTAACCTGCTGATTGCTATTAACAGGTACTGCATTTCTTGGATAGTTATTATTTGGTTTTATTATTTGGGGGAAATGAGAGTGGTAGAACTATGATTTTAGCTACGTTTCAGGGTTTGGCTTGAATTCTGCTGCAATAGTAGACAACCCTCCAAAGTGTTTAATGTGTTGAAGTTTCACGGTATTTATATTATCTGAACCAATGAGGTGTTTTTGGATCTAGAATTTTTCCTATAATAATCAAATACAGACCTCAATTTCAACAGGAAAATCCACATTGAGTTATAGTGAATGGCCTTCCTGAGAAATAATCTTGAAGGGTATATATTATAATTAATTTGTGTTAATATTGATTATTTTGACTTGAAGAATATCAGAACCAGACATGATTCAGTATTTTAAAGGTAAAGTAGTTAAAATGAATGAATTGTTTTAGTTCATTTAATTACTCTGACTGGACCACTTTAATTCATGACCAATTCACTTTCTGTAGATACCCACACTTGGCTGTGACATTTTAATAACATAATTGTACTTGGAAACTATTTACCTTTGTCCCTCTAGCCACAAACTACTTATACCATTAAAAAGAGGCTCATCATTATAGATTTAAACACATAAAATATAATAATGAGCCATAAGTCACTTTGTTATGAGTTTTTAGTGGAATAATCACACCCTTTCTTTTAAAAAATATATTATTGATGTTGGAGAGGAAGGGAAAAGGAGAGAGAAAAACATCAATGATGAGAGAGAATAATTGATTAGCTTCCTCCTTCTCACCACCTACTGAGGATCGAGTCCACAATTTGGGTATGTGCCCTTAACCGAAATCGAACCTAGGACCCTTCAATCCGCAGGCTGATGCTTTATCCATTGAGCCAAACCAGCCAGGGCCACATCCTTTCTGTATTATCCCTACATGCTTCCTATATTCTATTCTTTACTGTTTACTCTAAAATATCCCAAGGACACAGGAAACCACAGCATACTGTCTAACCCTCTCACAGGCACACAGTAAATAGCATTTATATGCTAGTTGTAAGTACCTCACAGTGCAGTTGAGAAGAGAACTATATAAGCAGACAGTGTGATAAGTATAAGGGAGAGACCACCAGGGAACTATGAACATAGTGAGGAGATGCTCACTCTGCTTTATTTTTATTTTTAAACATTTTTTTATTGTTAATAGTATATAGATTTCTCCCATCCACCTCTTCTCCCACCCCCCCATCACACTGCTTTAGAGGAACAGTTCCCCAGAGGCAGTCATATCTAGTATGTCTCTTTACCACCTCTCTTTTCTCCCAATCTGTGTCCATTCCTTTTAAAAATGTAACGGGCATGAAAGAAGACTCTGTGTGCATGCACAATCACCCATGGACATGATGGTTTGAAAGAGAATAGAGCCCACAAAGTCTCTAGCTGTCTCCATCCAATTGGTTTCTCTTTTACAACTTGCCCCAAACATTCTAGAATTCAGGGCAAAAACAGTTCTGACCTAGAGGTGGTATGGTGTGGGTGTTGGCAGTGAGAAGAGAGAGGAACTGTAGGAGAGTAATCATAGCAGAGAGGTGCTCACTGAGGTGGTAGTGAATACTCTCCCCTGTAACTCCCCAGAGAGCAATGAGTTAAGCTGCAAGTATTCTTCCCGAACATCCCGCTGCTCTATTATCTCCTCTCTGTGTCCCCTTGTACCCTTTGTCCTTGGCTTTATACCAACTTTTAAAATACATTATCTAAAACTCTCCCACTAATATAGATGCACTGGCCTGGAATTCCAAGGACAAAAAGTAAATACTGTTCTGGGCTCTCTTTACTACCAGTGTGGCCATCTGACTAGGAAGACTCCAAAAGCCTAAAATCCTTCCAACTGGCTTAGCGCAAAACTGTAAAAGATGCTTATTCCTAAAGTAGTTAGTGGGAGTGACCTTTTTACTTGTTGCCAGGAAGAAAACCAATTTAGGTCCAGGAATCAAGCACATTTGCAGATCCAACTTGACCTTTACTAACTCTTTACAACTCTTAAACTTAACCCAGTTGGAACATGGAATTAAGTTTACTGCAGATCATACTTGACCAAGCCTTTTACTGACTCGGTAGGACTTTCATTCTGGCAGTTAAGATTGCAATCTCCTGGAAGGGAAGCAGCAGACCCTGCAGTTCTGCTCCCATGTTTGTAATGGTTTTCTCACTCTGTCCTAGGTAAACCCAAATTCAAGTTCAAGTCAGGCTCCCACTTCCATAGCAAATGACGTAAATAATGAAGATACAAACAAAAATCTGTTTTCTTTATATTCTGCTTTCTGGCTGCATTCCTTAAAAAGCTCTAGGCCGACCTCTGTTCTGCCTCTTCAGACACCTAAGGATGATGACTATGAGGGATAGAGACTTTGATTCTGTCAATACTTCCCAGGTTTAAAAGCTTACATTTCTCAGAGAGTACAGGACTACCGAAAATTAATCCTATAAATGGATATGGAGGAGGAAGGTAGGCCTTACAGTCCTGCAGAACTGGAGAAAGGCCATAAATGGAACTCCAGGGGAACAGTGTTGAACGTTTTTGCTATAAAATGTCATGGTTAGAATTTATAAAAGACAAGCCAGATACACTTTGATAAATTTTAAGGATTTATTTTTAAACTTTAAAACATGCAATTAAGTAAAAACCTAACACAAAAATGTTACACCAATTATAGCAATTCTTTACACTAAATGGATAAGCTACTATGGGGCTATTGTCACTATGTGTTAGGAATGTGTGTGTATATACATGTGTGTGTCTGTCTCTCTCTCTCACACACACTTTTGTGCAAGTAGAAAGCTTTACACTGACCACAAATCAATGTACGACTTCTGTTTACAGACACTGGCCGTTTGTCGTCAGTCTCTGGGTCTACTCAGTTCATTCCCATCCCTGATTCAATATCACAGGAAGGCGACTTTCCAGAGGTGGTTTCTAGCAGCTCTCATTGCTGACACCTCATTATAGGGTTTGCCTGAGTGGTTCTTCTTCCCTCCAGGACAGTGAGAGCTCCTTGTCCAGTGTTGTGGCATTAAACACCTTGTTCTTTATGTTCTAGCACTGTGTTTTCATTAAGGATAGTTTTAAAAAATGGATTATACTAGAAATTCTTAAGCCAATGGAAACAGAAGGATAATATTTTAAACAACATAGCCTCAGAACCCTCTTTTGTACTTTTTTTTTTTTTTTTTTAGAGTCCTAAGTGCATCACAAATCACATGTCATTTAAAAATGTGCTGTCTTGACAGAAATCAGTGGAGGATTTAATATCCTATCATCAGTATGTTTGTACTTTTTGAATAATTTTATTCCTTTATAAGATTGTGCTGTGAGTCTTGCTTTTCTTTCATTTTGTTTCAACTGTAGCTAACAAACGTAACGGGTTAGTATTGCTACATGAATACTGGGAACGAGGTTCCAAGTTTTCATAGCACGGCTCCATAGCAGCTACTATGGCTGGTTACCTACATTTGCTGGGGCTCCATTTCTCCACAGCAACACTGGGCTAACTACACTTATATAAAATACCAAGATGAGATGAAATGAGCATGTATACACATGCCAAGAATAGTACTTAGGGTATAGTAGACACTCAGTAAAGGGACTAGTGTAGTGTTATTATAATTAATATTATATGAATTAATTGTATATATACATATATTCATACATAAATGTGCATTTAATTCTAGCTTTAAAAAAGGAAGGCGTTATGTGTCTTTAAGTTTGTTGTAAATGTAATAGGCTGTCTTTAAAATAAAGTCACTTGCGTCATAACACAGTTATGACCTTTAAAGGTTAACAAAGGTTTAAAAATATAGCTAATATATAAAAATCCCTATGAAGGTAAAAGTTACTGTATTTTAATTATTTAAAAATGATTCTTTAGATCTAACTCACATCAGTCCAATCTATCACAGATAAAATTTTGGCACTACTATCGATTATAATTGGGTTTCTGAAAATGTTTTAGAACACCTTCATTTTGTTCACATTTTGCAAAGTGAACATTGACTTAATCTGGATAATTTTTTAGCTACTTCCAAGAGTTAAAAGTTTAGGACATATGTGAAATGACTTTTTTTTTTTTTTAACTCCTTTCATGAGGTATAACAAATATCCATTGTTAACAGGATAGAATAAATAAACAAAAAGTGGAAAACTGCATACTCTTGGATGTTCTTTAATTTAGATGATGGACTTATTCATATTTTGAAAACGTTTAATCCCTAAAAGTGAAAGGAGGAAGGAAATAGACAAAAAAAATTTAAAGAAGACAATAGAAGGTTCAATGTTTAGATTGGGATCTTTCTGTAAATCAAGTGATCAGATCAATGAAAGTTTTAGAAAACACTTTTAATGTTTTTCTGTTCTAAAATTGATGCCACAAAATCTCTACAAAATTTAAAGTATCTTCAAAGTTATCTGGAAGAAGAAACAACTAAAACTGATAAATATTGTAGTCCTTGATATTAAGAATAAATCATTCTGGATTCTCCTGTTACTCCTAGACAGGATGATTTGTGAAAAAAGCAGAAATGCATTTTTCCCCCAGGCAGTATTCTCTTCCTAATTACATTTACTCTACAAATTAAATTAAATTTGGGTAATTATAAAAGCTACTTCCTTGAGAAAACAACAGCAAAGTAAGCACTGTTATAATGGGTCCATAATATACTTTGATAGCACTCAAAACCAGGCAAATTGACCACACATAGAATAAAGTTTGAAGTATAACTTTGGGTATTCCTGGCTCTCGATGTGTATCATGGTCATTTTACAGATACCTTTAAAACATATTACCTGATTATTGAAAGCTCTCTTGT